TTTTTTGGAAAGAGGTATGCAACTGAGGGATTGTTCAAAATGAATGTAATGATTGTGGTCAACAACATGAATGGAAATACTTCTTCTGCTTATTTGCTTGAGTCTTCCAGTTTATGGCATGGTAGACTAGGTCATGTTAATTATGATTCAATACGTCGACTGATTAACTTGAACCACATACCAACATGTAAAATTGACTTAGAACATAAATGTGAAATTTGTGTTGAAGCAAAATTAACGAGGTCATCTTTCAAAAAAGTGGAAAGAGACACAAAACCACTTGAATTAATTCATAGTGATGTTTGTGATTTGAAATCTGTTCAAACACGGGGTGGTAATAAATATTTTATCACTTTTATTGATGATAGCACAAAATATTGCTATGTTTATTTGCTAAAAAGCAAAGATCAAGCGTTAGAGAAATTTGTTATCTACAAAACCGAAGTTGAGAATCAACTTGGTAAAAAGATAAAAAGATTGAGAAATGATAGAGGTGGCGAATATGAAGCACCTATAGGTGACTTTTGTGCACAACATGGAATCATTCATGAAGTGACCGCACCTTATTCACCTCAATCTAATGGGGTAGTTGAACGAAAGAATCGCTCGCTAAAGGAAATGATGAATGCGATGTTATTAAGTTCTGGATTGCCTCCCAATATGTGGGGGGAAGCTGTCTTGTCAAGTAATTACCTTTTAAATAGGGTGCCCCGAAAGAAAGATGACAAGACTCCATATGAATTGTGGAGAGGAATAAGACCATCCTAAAAACACTTGCGAGTGTGGGGGTGTTTGGCAAAGGTAGTTGTACCTCCACCAAAGGCAATAAAAATTGGACCTAAGACGGTGGATTGCATTTTTATTGGCTATGCACATAATAGCAATGCTTATCTATTCTTGGTGCATAATTCGGAAATTTTGGATATACACAAGAATACGATTATGGAATCTAGAAATGCATATTTCTATGAAAATGTATTTCCTTGTAAGAGTAAAGATGAAGGCAGTTTATTAAAACTAACTCATGAAAAAATTCAAGATTCGATTGAGGTTCAAGATGTTGAACCGAGACGAAGCAAAAGAGCAAGAGTGGAAAAATCATTTGGTGATGATTTCGTAACTTACTTGCTAGAAAAAAAACCACTGACTTATGTCGAAGCAGTGACTTCTTCAGAGAGACCTTTATGGGAAGAAGCCATAAAAAGCGAGATTGATTCAATTTTACAGAATCACACTTGGGAGTTTGTTGATCTCCCACCTGGAAGTAAACCATTAGGATCTAAATGGATTTTTAAGAGGAAAATGAAACCTGATGGTTCCATTGATAAATACAAGACCAGGCTTGCGATTAAAGGGTATAAGCAACGAAAAGGCTTAGACTACTTTGATACATATTCTCCCGTGACGAGAATCACTTCCATAAGGATGATACTTGCCATTGTAGCCTTACGGAATTTGGAAATACATCAAATGGATGTTAAGACAGCTTTCTTAAATGGTGAGTTAGATGAAGAAATCTATATGGAGTAACCTGAGGGTTTTCGAGCTCCTGGAACTGAAAAGAAAGTCTGTAAAATAGTAAAGTCTTTGTATAGTCTGAAACAAGCACCGAAAAAGTGGAATGAAAAGTTTGACCATGTAATGATCACTAATGGATTCAAAATCAATGAATGTGACAAATGCTTGTCAAGGAGATAGAAAATGACTATATCATTTTATGTATATATGTAGACGATATACTCATTGTTGGTAGTAGTGACAACTTGGTCAAATCTACTAAGAACATGTTGAATTCTAAATTTGACATGAAAGATATGGGTATAGTTGATGTGATTTTAGGTGTTAAAATCATAAGAACAACAGAAGGTCTGGTTTTGAGTCAAGATCATTACATAGACAAAATTCTTGATAAGTTTAACAAGAATGATTCTGGAGTCACAAAAACACCATTAGATAATAGTGTCCATTTATCCAAAAATCGTGGACAGGGCATATCTCAATTGGAGTACTCTCGGGTAATAGGGAGTCTGATGTATCTAATGAGTTGTACTAGACCAGATATTGCTTATGTTGTAAGTAAGTTAAGTTCATACACGAGTAATCAAAGTGCTGAACACTGGACTGCAATAATCAGAGTACTTGTGACTATGGATTGCACTATACCAGATATCCATATGTTTTAGAAGGTTATACAGATGCTAATTGGATATCTGATACAAAGGACTCGAACTGTACAAGTGGCTACGTTTTTGCACTAGCTGGAGCAGCCGTGTCATGGAAATCCTCAAAACAAACTGTAATAGCCAGATCCACAATGGAATCTGAGTTTATTGCGTTAGATAAGTGTGGCGAAGAGGCTGAATGGCTACGCTAATTTTTGGAGGATATTCCAAAGTGGGAAAGACCTGTGCCACCTATTGTTATACATTGTGATAGCCAATCAACGATTGGAAGGGCACAAAGTACTATGCATAATGATAAGTTGAAACATATTCGTCGTCGACATAATACCATTAGACAACTCCTCTCAACAGAAATTATCACAATTGACTACATGAAGTCAAAAGATAACATTGCGAATCCGGTAACCAAAGGGTTAAATAGAGAGGCAGTTGAAAGATTGACAAAAGGAATGAGTGTAAAGCCTATGAAAAGATAAAGTCTTTTGAAGGAAAACCCAACCTAGTTGACTGGAGATCCCAAGATCTAGCTTCAAAGGGACAACCTAATCTTAAGACTTAGTGTGGTCACTGTGGGGGAAAACCTCAACTCATTCCTATCACAAAACAATGATATAATGGAAAGGATAGCAAATGGTTGCTTTAATGACACTTAAGTGAGTAATAAACTTTGCTCTAGACTTAAGAAGTCACCTATGTGAGAGAGAAGTGGGGCCGCTTCAAAGGAAACTGGTGAGACTCAGTTCTTTAGAAACTCTCGCAGAACCAGGACGTGTTCATGGCAAAAAATGAACAAAATCATGAGAACAGAACGACATAAAGGAATGGTTCCTGTGTATTGTACGTGGATTTCTTTACACAATACAGCCGGACAGTTCAAGGACATCACGTCTACTGGACAGCTAGTAAAGCAAGCGTACTTTACAAGGAGGAAGTTCAAAGAGTAGTATCTACTTTCTCCCCATGCAGGAATCAGTCAATGAACACTATTACTAATTCGAAACAATATCTCATTCATGTGGGGGATTGTTGGAATTTGAGCTAATGTGAATGAGAACTTTGGTTTCTCATTAATTGGAAAATGAAATTATAGACATTACATGAAAGGTATAAAACCTTTGAGTTCATGAGTATGTCGGACCTGATCAACCCGAGTCATGAACCTATCTTGATTTACTTTCCAATTAGATGAAGAGTCCTTGTAGATTCATTTGAATGAACTAAATTCATGAATCAATATTAATGGGATGTAAGGGGGGTGAATGTTCATATTCATAGTTAGATTAAGTTCATGAATGAAACCTCTTTGGTTTTGGTGAAACATTGTATCTAACTAAGTTAATTGAATTAACTTGGGAGAATGAATAGAACAATTCTACTACTTCAAGTAACTCTTCACCTATAAATAGTGGCTCATTTTTTAACAAACAAATCATCCAAAAATTTTCAAGCTCTCTTAGCTTTCTTCTTAGCCTTTCTAGCCTATTTCTCTTGGTGTTCTTTGAATTCTAAGGTTCTAGTTCGCTGGTGAAGATCCTTAGTGCAAAGGAATTTTTACGAATTCGTTGTATCCTGGGAGATAGAAGCTCACTAAATCTCTTGCACATTCGGGAGAGGGCTAATCTGTCTTAAGGAAATCGTGTCTTTCACGAGCCTCGAATTTCCTCATAATCTTTTTATCTTCTATTCTTGCCATTTCGAATACACTATCTTTTAGTATTTACCCAACAAGCTAAACAAATTAGGGGAAAAAAAAACCATGAAAGACCTTTGGAAGCTTTGAAATCCTCCTTTTTCTGCCGGTGGAAGAGTGATTCTTCACTTCAAATTCTTCACAATCTTGTGCAGACTTGTTTTACTTTTTCTTTGACGAGGTTTCCGTGACTTGGACTTCTTGTCTTTACGTGCGGAACGTGAATTTTTTTTGTGGAATTGGATTCCTGGTTGCTTAGGTATTTCAACAATCTGTAATACTTCGTCATCAGAATCAGAATCTTGATGAGCAAACGAAAAGCGAGATCAATGAATCATAAAACAGATGTGATTTTTAAAGCCGGAGTGAAGACATAGTTTAAGAAGAAGAAGGCTTTTATATAAATATATATATATATATATATATATATAATAATTTTTTGGGTTTATAATGGCGTCCGAAATAAATAAAAAATATTGACATCGCATTGGAATTGGGTTGTTGGGAAACAAATTACAATAGCAAACAAAACAATGAATAGGAAACATGTATAATTATAGGTGTAATTTTAGGGAAATCATATTGTACGACTTCTTTCAATTATTTATAGGAAAAAGGGAATTTCAAGACTATTCAAGATTGTTCTGACTAATCATTGTCTATCTTCAACGCCCATAAGAGAGGCCTTGGGTTCGTTAGGATTGGTAAGGTTGATATAACACATTAAATAGTAACGTTTCTGGTAGAATCAAAATAGAATACTCTCCGACCGGGGAATGTAGTAGCAGATTCTCTACCAAAATTTGAATCCGTACTGGAGTTGTATATTTTGGCAATGTCTCCTTCTAACATAGTTGATTTAGTCGTTGGAGAATGAAGTAGATCATCCCAGATCCCTGAATCAAGTGATACTTTCTCATTATGTCGGTATGTCTAAACCAAACCAACCTCGGTACTATCCCTAATTAATTAGTTTCGCAACTCAACGACCTGTTTGTAATAACATCTCTATGAAACACAGGACGAGTACATCCGTTCAAATTGGAATGATAAAGAGCAGATAAGCATTGCTCCTGCACAAAGATGGCAGACACACATAGAGAAATGGTCCGAACGTTTGAAAATAACCACGACTAAATTTTTCATTCATTGATGCAACAACCCATTCAACTCAAGCCCAGATGGTAACCAAAAGTAAAAGAGTATTCTAGGGAGTATTCAGCTAAAAAGTGGTGGGAGTAGTTGCCAGCACACTCAAGCTCAGCTAATAAATGTCGAAAGCTGATCTTTTTCATCCATTGATGCAACCATTCAGCTAAAGCCACAAGAGCTACACGGTTTCAGAATGGACCAAACTAAACTAACTAGGTTAGTTGTAAGGATTCGAATTCTAGAATCACGAACTACCAAGTTTATGGATATTCTAGCTAAGCATTAAGGGGTGTCAAATTTCATTCACTATTACTGTGAACCAGGAGCTTCAATGAGGGGATGCCACATCAGGGCTCCAGCATTCAGAAGAGTCTGAAAAGGGAGTGAGACTAAGTCCCGCAGGTGCTGCACCTATGGTCAACTGGCGTATGAGATCCACATTTATAACAGAATCGAGATCCACACCTGCAGTAATGAAGCTTATGGATGAAACAACAATTCAATCTCATGGGAAAGTGACTAAGAATCAGTACAAGAGATTATCATGCATTCCCAAAACCTGTATCAAAAGGGAAGGAGCAGTGATGGGATGAAAGGCATGATGAATTGGTACCAATAAAAATCCAGACAACTAAACTTAATGGAAGAAGAATACGCTGATACCACATAGCAAAATAGCATAACTTGGAAACCAAGTCTTACAAAGTACTCAACAGCATAAAGGCAGCTGGAAATGGCCAAAATGAGTAGTCATTTACTTCTTCTGGTTTGAACTAACTCATGCAAACGTGAATGGAAAAGTATGTTTAGACTGTGTCAAGTTGTCCAGGGGTCTCATTCATAGGTTAGAAGTCAACGTCATTAAGTTGTCAAATAAATCAAATTCAATATTAGCTAAAACCATAATCAAGATATTCCTATTATCACCAGACTTGGAGTTGGCTATAACTCTTTAGTGTTTTCAGTTAAAATGCAAAACCTAAATGCCAAAATGTCCAATTATACAAGTAATATTACTCCATTTTTAACGGACAAATATATTGTTTACAAAGTAACTATCTAGTTGAGAGGCCTAATAAATATTCATCCTAGTTAAAAACATTAAAATGGCTCTTGTTACCTGCATTTCATGAACAAGCACCCTGCAGACTTCTGTACAAAAATTCTGCAACTAGGACACCTTTGCCAGTTCTTGTCCTTTGCCAAGTTCATCAACAAAATATCCCCCATTTCTCTTTCATCCGCATTCAACTTCTGAAACTCGTCACACGAAAACCCGGTATGCCAGGGAACTCTGCACATGGCACAAAACATTCTCCGACAATACGGGCACTCGGTATTCCTGACAGGCTCACAGCCCCCAATCCTTTCATCAACCAGAAGGGCTGAACAATCTTTATAAGGACAGTAAAATTTCTCAGAGGCCAGAATCATTGCCTCACAAAGAGCATCACCCCACCTATCAAACACTTGAGAAGGCAAAATTGAACGGCAATCCTGAAGCTCTAATATCCCACCACACCCCACAACAGGACATGTTATATTAGTGTTGTTTTCTTGCAATTTAGAAGATACATATTTGGCCATACACTCTGCACAATAAGAGTGACTACAACCCTTAATGTAAAAAGATTCAGTATTTGGCTTCTCATCCACACAAATACTGCACAAAAATGTTTTATCAACACTATCATCATCATCATCATCATCAATTGTAACAGTTGCAGGTATATAATTCGAAGACTCGCCTTGGTATAACTTTCTTTTGGTACCCTTTACTGAAGAAATGAGTTGAAGAGCATCATCATCATAGGAAAGATCAATGACCGTTCCTGTACTAACTGATGCCCTGATCCCATATGTTTCAACTAAGATGGGATTTCTTGAATTGCAGCCTTGAGTACCCAACACCGGCTTAGTATACAAAACCCGCAAGTCGTCGTCCTCATCATCATCATGGCCATCATCACTGAGTATCACTACCTTTAAGGTTTGTTTTGCCATGTGGTTTGCAGACAGAAGAAGAATGGCAAAGGACACTTCAAGGGCTCTTCTATAAGTAAATGAAGGGGGCTTTGCCCTCTTAAATTTTGATCACGGGTTTATGAATAAAGAAAATTGTTCGTTAAGATTAGGGTTGAATTTGGTAGGTTTTTTTTTTTTTTTTTTTTTGTTTTGTTTTGTGAGGATGTTGGAGAGAAAATCCTGAGAAGATTGTAGACCCTTTGGGTGGTACCGGAGAGAAACGAAGAGTATTTATTATAGCAGGCCTCTCATTAAAGCAGACGTTGTTGGTGATGATTCGACTTTTAAGGTTTGTAACAAAGTTCAAACTTGAGTTTGACTGAGCTTGGAAAGCTTCACTATCAATCTTCATTATGCAAATAAATACTCAGAAAAGATTCTAACGTATCCGGAATCCAAACGAGATGGAGAGAGTTGGCGTTGGGCAGCCTCCAAAAGGAATCACTCTCATTGCTCCAGGAATTGTTTTGTTTGTTATCCTATGAAGATAGATGGCGTAGTTACTTATTTGTCAAGTGCTTACTGATTCTTCTCGTTTAATATCAGGTACTCCCTTCGTCCCGTCCCGAAATGATGGTCTAATTTGGAATTTCACTTTTAGTATAAATTGTACTTAAAATGAAAATCTAAATTAGACAATTATTTTGGAACATAGGAAATACAACAATAAAAATCATCCAATATTTAAGAAAATTTGGCAAATACCGTTACTTGAGAGCTTAACGATGAATGTATAAACACGATGGATACAATAAGATATTTACAAGAGGAGGAAAGGCGAAGGAGAAATGATAAGCCTGGACGTTTTCTGGAATAAAAACGTATACCAACCGCTGCACATTGATGATATATGTACACTTCCGTCTTTATCTGAATTGTGATCACTGGGTAACCACACTCGATGTCACCTTCATGGCTCCGGAAGAATTTCCATGAAACTCGTTGGAGGAGATAATCTGAGTACTAGCACCCAAAGCTTGCGTAAAGGTCTCCAAGAGCAGCATATAATGGTTCAGCAGCCTTTGGTTTGTCCACTGTACCAAGGAGGATGTCAGCTGTGGTAAGGTAAGGATCGCCATAGAAGCGAAGATTCGTGTCCATCCTGGTCATCACCATGTTCCCTTCAAGCGAAACACCGACAAATGCCCCTGAAGCATAAAATACCAAGAAAAATTAGACCATCACTTTAGTTATAGATAAGAATGCAATTAGCACATCCATTACATTACATACAAGAAACCATCAAGCTCAACCAAATTTCTGAGTAAACCACCACCACCAATAAACATCAAACACTAAAATGAGCATAAACCAACCTTACTGAACTAAAGTCCATGAATTCCCACAAATTCAATTCTTTCATAACCTGACCTAGCTAGACTTACTGTGAGACAACTCATCATTCTCAACTTAACAGAAGAGTATGAGGTACCTTTTAACACTTCTTAATACCGAAGGTCAAAAATCAGCAAAACGATGTACAAGGAGTACCTAGTATACTTCAGAAAATGTCATCTACCATAAACACCTAATTGCTCTCATTTCACAACATGCTCATGCATGAATCACCAAGGGAATCAAGAACATCCACATCTATAGATACTATCAGCTACACAACTTCTGAATAAAGAACATGGTAATACATACTCTTGAAAACTGTAAATACATTACACAGGTTCAGTGACAAGAAAACATGGTTGTTAAAACTTTTGAACTGCAATGGCATCATGAAATATCTAAACTGACAGACTCCAATTAATCCAAGGATGCAATGTAAGGCACAAGAATATATCACCTTTACTGCAGCTGTAGGTATAGCACATGCCAGATCCTCTATCACCAGCTCTCAAGTCTGCCTCTACAACTCTGCCAACTGGACCTGCCGCAGCACTACATCCCGCACCTAGAGAAAAATGCATACGACTGCAGAATGTTTTCACAGCTTTGGAGTCATGCAGCACAATTATGAAGTCCATGAGCTCCCCACCAACCTGCCCAACAGGAAGATGAATCAAGATGATTGGTTCATCACACCAGACACTCAAAAATGAAAACATCTGAGGTGATGTAGTACCTGGGCACCCCAACCAAGGCCAACAGATAGAAGCGCTGATGGAGCTGACCATGATCCATCAGATCTTCTAGCAATAACTAAGCCAGTGCCGAGCTTGTAAGCAAGTATCACCCCACCTTTAGCAACCGTTAAGATTGCCAAGCCTTTGGCTCCTTTCAGAACGGCAGCAGGAATGGACTTCTCAGGGTTCAAGCGAGCAACCTGTACGAAAAAATAATAACAGTAAACCAACTTAATAATTTGCAAAATACTCCAACACATGCGTATGTTTTCACACAAATCAGGATATATTCTTCCACAAAAGAAAATCAAATGCAGCCACTAGTAATCCTCACAAGATTCCTCAAATTTTGAACCAAGCACTCAGGTACAGAAAGAAACCTGGGAGTATGATCTGAGCGTAATGGCTGATTTATAAATTTCATGCTCCATGGACAAACCAACAGGCAGGTTCAACCATCCTCTCATAGAAGTCCAATCCATCACATCATGCTTAGCACGCTGCACTGCGTTACTAATTGTATTTATTAACACTCCCTGCAGCGGGTCCAACCGGTCATAGCATGCATCACACACTCTCTGAGGATTCCTCTCCCGGAACTTTACAGGTAATAAGCACCTGCCTTTTGAGCACTCCCTGCAGAAGATCCCACCACAAAACCGGCAGTGATGTCTTCCCCGAGTAAGAGCGGTGAATTGAGCATTGCACTGCATGCAGCCTCTACTAGAGCTGTCAGGTAGCCATTCTGGAGGTTCAGCTTCCAATAAATCTTTGTAAGCACTGTAGTCAAATGCAGCTGGTTCAAGAAGCGGTGGAGCACTTGGAGTGTAAACTGAGGAATGCAAGTACGTATCCCCATTCTTTGCAGATCCGAGGAACGAAACATTTGAATTAGAGTATTCCAGACTTCCACCAACTTTCAAATTTTTGTTTCTCCCAGTCAAAATAGCAAATATCCCACTCATGACATTTTTCAAATTCACCTCTGGAGGACCATTATGTGGAACGATCTTGTAATGATCATCATTGGATCCAAAGCCTCCATCAAAATGGTCTTCAGGCTCAACAGGAAACTGATAAAGATTACCATGTTTCAATGAGCCAGGGCTATATGAATCAGTATTTTGGCTTTCCGGTAAGCCCCAAGCCGCATCATCAAAGTCATCAATATATTTATACTTAACATTGTCCTTTTCTAGAGTAGGCATAGATGGATACGACACTCTTCCTTCGCGAGTCGCCATAATTGACAGCTAAAACAACAGAGGCTACTGATATACACAAGGAATCAATCTGCCATGCAAAACAAAAACCCAAGGTATGAGAGGATCATCATCCGAAAGGCTCCAGAACACGGAACTTGAAAATTACACAATAAAACTTCTACAAGGACTAAACAATAACCATAATCATAAGTACAACTATCACAATACCAAAAAAATTAAAAAAAAAATTAAAAAATGCTAGACTGAAATTTTAATCAAAAGAACAAAACTTTCCCATTCTAATTTGCATAACCTACTAAAACATCATGGGAATTGACTTCCAAACAAAGAAAACCAGCAATTGCACAACATTACTAAGGCATGCGTATGAAGATATCAACCGATTCACTCAGAAGGGTTTTCCTCCAATTTGAAGAATTCAAAACCCTAGCAATCAAATAGCTATTTAAATAACAAATTAAAAAAGGAATTTCGAAAAAGAAAACCTTGATTAAACGCCCAAGGAAGAAAAAGAAAGGTATTGAGAATTCGAAAACTGAAGCAGAAAATCAATACCTTATCAAAAAGAACTACTTCGTGCCAAGACTCCTACTTTGTAATTGAAGTTGGAAGAAGGGATGACGGTGAAAGTAGTTTCGTTTTGTAATTCCGAGGTTTCGTGTAGTAATTGATTTTGAATGAGAGAACATAAATATTCTTATTTCGGAATTTGGATGATTTTCAGCTCCAAGTTCTCATTAAAGAATGAATAAAGAATTAAAGATAAACCTATTTTTGGGGCTTTTTATTTAAAAAATAAAATAAATAGCAAAAAGGCTCCCAACACTTTTTAATACGATACTTAGACCCCTATATTTTACACAAATGTTCAATGTGTGTAATATCTGGGCATTCCTCTGCAATTTATTAGTCCAAACAACAGCCTAACTTAATTAGGCGGGAAAGAGAGAGGGAGAGAAATTATGGCGCCATTGAAGTCTCTGCAAGTGGATTTCCCGATCATCGACTCCAATTTTCAGCAATTTTGTGCTTGCCATGGCATTTTCTCAGGTTCATACCTTTTTTGTACCCCAGGAATTTGGGTTTTTACTTCTTTCATTTTTCTCTTTGTTAGTCGAAAATACGGCAAATTTTTGGTTTTCGGGGAGGTGCTAACATGGAATAATAAGATGGAATGAAAAGGCAATGGGTCTAGAAATTCTCGTATCATTCTCCAAAGATGGAAGTTTTTGATCGATTTCAGCCTTAGGGTTCTAGGTAATTTTAGTGTTGTAAAATGCTGGGGAAAAAGAAGAATAGGGAAACGCAGGTCAGACTAAGATAAAAGAATTATGTATGCACACAATGCCTTCTTTTTTTTTTTCCCCCTTGGTTCTGAATCAAATTCGTGAGGTTTCAGCTGAAAGGTTTTTTTATTTTTATTTTTATTCCTTTTGCTCTCTGCAAATGCTGAACTTTGAGGACTGAGGAGTATGGATGGACTATTTCTCCCATTACTCCTTATTGATGGGTATCATAATCTTTTGATTTTTTGCAAAATAGAATCAGCTGGAATTCCCAAATGGTTGATCATTTGTTGTATGTTTTTTTTTCTTGAGTTGATTTGATGAATTGATGCAGTAATTGACTATGTGTACTGCTTCCTCAAACAGTGGAAGATTTCCTAGTGCACGATCTTTACTTGTTAGCAGCATTCGCTGAAGAGCATTGCACTTCAGATAGATTGAAGCAGGTTGGTAATGAGAATGCTGTTTCCCTTATTTATTTATATGCCGTAGATCTCTTCGGAACATGGCGATTCATGTTTATAATGCAGGGTATCACCCAGATTCTATCAATCATTGATAGCCTGCATCAACCATGGCTAAACGGTTTGGAGTTGTGGGAATTTTCTCAGAAGAGTAACCACTTGGTGGCTACAGGCTGTGAGAGGTGCCTTCTCTAGTCCTCAAATTTGTTGGTTTGCTGATTACAGGAACTTATTTATGCATTGGCCTAGGATTGATGCATTTCTCCAAGGCGGACTTCGTTTAGGTTTGCTGACAGAATTAGTTGGACCATCCTCCTCCGGCAAAACACAAGTATGATTATTGATGCCATTGAGTTTTTCATGATACTAACAATTAATGTGTTGCTGAAGACTTCTGATATTCATTGGAAGTTTACTGAAATTTCTCAAACCAACAGTTGGTTTTTTTTTCACTATCACCATTTGTTCTTTACTAAAGGTCTCTGTGCTCAGATTTGCCTTCAAGCCGCATCCAGCTGTGCCAGAACTCGTCTCGGCAGAGTAATTTATATCGATACTGGGAACTCTTTTTCGGCAAAACGCATTGCTTACTTTGTGTGCAGAAGTCATCTTGCCAATAGTGAGGTCAGAAAGAAACATTAATGGCTTCTGCTCTTTCAGTCTGAACTAATTTTGTGGTTTTGTGAATAACTTAAGTGGTGGGAGTCAATTTTGGTAAGGTCCTATCAGAAATGTGGGGATTGGTTTCATAAGATCTTTGATTTGAATGTAGGATGGGCAATTTTTTTTTTCCTATTTCCTGTTATGATTGTATGGGATAAACTTCATTGCTTGTACAAAGCACATGATTCTACTTGAAAGGGAGGGGGAGGAGGTAATGCTTGAAGAACAATTAGCAGAACTAATCTGTTAATGTAATAATAGTCCGCAGTTGATGTTCAAGAGGTTTGCAACGTGCCAGCAATTTTTTCATCTCTGTTCTGTGCAGAAGTGTCACTGCCCAAAGACTTTTCAGCGGGCCACTTCTATATTTTGTCCCAACTTCATCGATCTAAAATGATAATATTGCTGCTTTGTTCCTCTGGCAGGTTGACAAAGTTGTAATGCAGATTTTGGAAAATATTTACTGTGTACCTGTATATGACATCTTTACCCTGTTAGACATGCTCCATCAGCTGCTAAAAGATCTAACTTCGCAGGTTACTATTTTTTTTTAATTAATTTATATTTTCGTTGTTCACTTGTTCTCCAGCGTCCTCACCTAATTGCTAATTGGTTCACGTAATGCTAATTAAATGTAGAAATGCTGCTACTTAAGGATGCTCATAATTGACTCAATATCCTCCCTTATTACCCCAGTTCTTGGAGGAGCTGGCACGCAAGGTATGTGTTTGCAGTTGAGCAACTTTTTGGATGGATTGACGAGATTATTGGAGAAATATATATGTGCAGGATTAACAAGTGTAATTTGGTTATTCAAGAAGTCAGGTTTCTTCAATATATGCTAACAACTCAATTATGGTGGAACTGCAGGTCATGCCTTGATGGCTTCAGTAGGATTTTTATTGAAGAAATTAGCGCATGAGCATAATTTGGCTGTTTTGGTAAGTTACGCTGAAACCCTCCCATAAAAGCTAGGTTTTTATATAATTTCCACAAGATGTTTCAGCTCACATCCTAGTTTTAGATGACGATTGACCTGGTTCTCAAGTAGCATACATTATCAGGTGGCAAAATGTGAGATATAGCCAAACTAAAAGCTTTTGACAAAATTTTGTCCTAAAAGCTGCTTAGCTCCATTTTTCTGACATGCTATACAACTTCACCTTAAATTACAGAAAAATGTACTTACCGAATACAGTTATAGATGCTGTTATAGATATATTGTTATGTTAAAATTTCTCTGCTTAAGGAAGTCAAATCATGGCAGATGCTCGCCTAAAGTTTTCTAATTGAATGTTTACCACTTTTATTTAAGATGACAAATCACATGGTTGCTGGTGAGGGCGGTATAACTAAGCCAGCACTGGGCGAGAGTTGGAAGAGCATTCCACATGTTAGGTTGATGCTGTCTCGAAACCCCAGTAGCATGTCAATACTAAGACACCCCTCTCGGGTATATTTCTTTCTGTCTACATCAATTTCACACAGTACTGTCCATATTAAATCCCATAAAATAATCTCCTATTTCAGTTTTACATAGGCTTTTTACTGTTTTGCAGGCTGTTGCCGATAGAGTAGAGTTCACAGTTTTTTAAGAGTCTGGTTTTTGAAGTGAGCGAGAAGAATTTGAAGAGAAGGGTGAATGGCTTTTAATAAGTTATTATTCTCTTGTCAAGGTTCATGGAGGACAGAAATATGAATAGGGTTTCATGAACTCAACAGGAACTTTTCACTCGGATGTGGTCGTTGTGGCTTCAAGTTACATCCCATTTTTCGATATGCTAAGAGGCTAAGAGCCTTTGCGAGGCAAATTATGATTGACAACTTCAATTTGTTCCTTAGGAAATTTTATTTTGTGCAGCAATACAAAAGGACTAGCCAAAAGAAAAAAAAAAAGAAAAAAGGAGTATAAGCATTATAAAGCATCCATATACACAACACTGACAACAGGTGTCGCCTATGCAACACTTCCAAATTCAGTCCAAAGGAACTATCAACTCAATCAATATAAAGTTACAGATCTATACTACCAACTGCAAACTACCAAAATTTTCTTATACATCACACTCGGAGCTTCTTCCCCGGACGCGGTTCATCATCATACATTGCACCACCGTCGTTATTCGAATCCTTGTCCGTCTTCTTTTTGGTCAGTATTTGGTTTATCTTATGCAAGTCGTTATTGAGTTTCTGATCTTTGTTCTGCTTCCGTGTCTTCCTACCATCTTGCATCTTCACACCAAACTGGAATGCAGCTTTTGGCATTGCTTCTTTTTGCTCATTGTATTTAGCCCATTCCTCTTCTGTTTCAAAATCCCACCGATGAAGCCGGCCCTTTGCCTGTCAAAGAAAAGGGAAAGAATTACAATCTCACAGAAACAGAGGTACAAACAAATCCAACACGGACAGGACACGCTTACCTTTCCACCCATATCCATTTTTGATAGATCATCTTCATCATCACTATCAACTATCTCACGGTTATATTCCTGGTAACCTGGATAGCATTCGGAATAACTCTCAGATATAAAATTGGGATCCTTTTCCCGGGCATCCTTCTCCCTTAGCTGCTGAAGTCTCTGATCATCCCGCTTGAACACAGAGCCTAAGCCTCTATCCTTTTCTTCTTGAGTCATAAACCTGGGATCCTGCTGCACCTCGATACCTGCTTGCACATCGTATACCTGTTGGAGATATTGGTCTGGGTAAGCAAGTTGCTCGCCGTATTGATACTCTTGCCACTCGGGTTGATAGCCATTAGCCAACGCTTGCGCTTGCAGAGTATCATATCCATTCTAAATAAGACAAAACAGCAACAACAGATTCAATAGACAATAATCAAATTGAATTCGCTTAGAACATTTTAAAGGTTCACAATGCCCACCTCAAGCTAATTAAATGTATTCGCTAGATCATTTATCCAGATTTAAGATGCATTCCTTGAAGAAACGTACCACTTGTTGCCAATCATTAGAAGGATTAGAGGGAGGTATTGGCCCATAAGCTGGTTCATTAAAATAGGGAGCTCGCTCCTTGTCCCGTGGAGATTCTTCCATGTCCTCTGAAAGAGGGCTTTGGGTCACATCTTTACCAGGAATCTCATAATCTGTTCCTTCCCCAACAAATATATCCTCCTCCTCTGCTCTAGCAACAGTTGGCCCTGGTTTCTCCTTTGTTTCGGGAGGATTCTTCCTAGGAAGAGGTGGAGGCGGTGGTAGAAATACTTCTTTGTCATTTTCATTCTTGAATACATTAGCTCTTGATGACTTCTCATCTCCATCATATCCATTTTGGACACCAGCTATTTTCCCTAATCGACAACATTGCAAAACAGACAATGAACAATGAGAAGCTAGATAATCAAGAAATGTTATAATCAGGTAACTGTTGGATAAATTAGATGATATACAGGTAGATACAAGTTATAAATGAAGAGGAGGGAACAAAACCAGCAAACGGAGTAGCCTCCATTAAGTTTTCCTCCCTCACACAGAAATATTAATAATTGACGTGCAAAATAGGCTAAATATTAAAAACTCGAAATGCCTTCAAAAGAAGTGAAATAAGCCCACAACTTTCAAATGAGACTTCTAACTTTTTCTGGAAGCACAGAATCATTCCATCTCTATAAATAGCAACATAAAATGTAAAAGAACTGTTGCAACTGCACTGAAGATTTAAAAAAAGACATCAGTCTTTGCAGAACATGATTGGCAATTCTAAAAACAATGGTCACCCTAAGGTCTAATTTTGTGGCACCCAAGGAACATATTGTTGCTTCTTTCATGTGCTCTTCTACTTCCACCCGTCACTGGGAGCCTACACTAATGGCATTTCCTCATCCTTTGAATTCTTCCTAGTCATCTCCACCCCCACCCCTACCCCGACGCCAAAAAAATATAATGACACAGTAAAAAAATCACCAACTCTAGGGAGAAACAATAGGCAGTTTGGGTGGAAAAATGTATAACAAGAATTAGAAAATCTTTATGCTAATCATACATCTGGGTTTCAAACCTCACTAAAGCTACAAAAGTCAAACCCTTAATAAAGAAAATTTGTAATTTTATTTTTTCAAAAACTAAATTTAATTCAAGAATCACAAATAAACCTTCTGGCAAATTGTAAATATTTGTGCAAAAAGTCCAAAAACTCAATAATGACAAAGCAAAGAATCTACCTTTTCCATCTTTTTCTTTCTTCTTTTTCTTGAGAACTTTACCAGAAGATCCCAGACGAAGGTATGACATAATCTTAGCAATTCGATCTAAGACCGATCCATCCACACTAACAGTCACCATTTCCTGAAAAAGTCAGCAGCCCAGTTTTCACTATGTGAAGCCAATCAGGAACGAATAAAAAATATAGGAAAGAAAGAAATACCTCAGGGACTGGACAGTCAGCTTTGCTCCTGTGCAGAGTGGTTGGAATATCATTTGAATAGCCATTTTCCTGAGATTAAATTAATTCAGAATGAGATAACATTTGCCATAAAAATGCCATGTAATAAGAAGATGAGCAAAGTTTATGAACTGCCTTGCTACTTCATGTTTAGGACTAAAACGATAAGTAAATAGTTGGGAAATAATTTAGAAACACCTCTTTCTGTAAGCATAGAGAAGAACCAGAAAATGTAAAGGAAAAACGTCACCAGAAAAGGAGAATTAATCTTAATAAAACAGAGTTAATACAAGTAACAGAAGTTTCAATAGTACAAATTCCTACCATGTTATAAATAAAGGACATTCTTCCAGGAAGGAACATTTCATTGGTCTTGATAATAGTTTGGGGCTTCACAATCAAATTGTACACAGACTGCAAAAACAACAACCAGAGTACCACCAAATGGATGTAAGCAGCTAAAAAAATCTGAGTCTGCAACTGACCAAAATGTAAAAACTATAAGTAAGATTCAAATTCAATAAGTGAACCTTAGCAGTAGCCGTTCGGAATGACAATGCTTGATCTTCCTTGGAGCTCCTGTTAATGGAAGAAATAAATAATACTTAATGTAAGATATTATTAACTGAACTCAGCAAAGTCACCCAGGAACGGACATATGCGAAAGCTAAATTAGGCAACATCTTTGAGACTACACGGTAAATGATGCTGATTAAACCACAGGAAGCCTAAAATGTGATAATTTAAGCTCGCAAATACTGCATAAAGTATAAGGTTTTCCTCATTTGATGTTATCATACTTCAAGAAACTATCTGAAGTTAAAAATAGTTAATTACAGAACCGTTAAAATGTTAAGTTTACACATGCAAAGGTCTAACCTAAAGCTTCAAATGAAAGATTCTACCAGGGTCCAGGGATCGCAAAAAGAAGACTAGTAACTAATAATGATTTACAAAGGAAGAAAAAAAAAAAAAAAAAAAGATGACAAAGAAACCCTCCAGCTACGCAAAAAAAGGCCTATAAACCTTTTGAAATACTTTTATAAGTTTAAGTCCATTCAATCTCTATTATCTGCAAGAATGACAAAAGAAAATCAGGTGGAATAGCTACCAGATTCCCCAAAATCTTGTTCGATGCAGGTACTGACTCTCATAAGTTATCCTTGGCTCTCACAATATGTACAAGTTTCTTTCCAATAAACTAATCATTAAAATCTTGAAAGCGTAACCAAGAAACTTCCATGAGAGAAAAATCAAAAGCAAGAGCAAAATATGGAACCAATGTAATTCAACCAAATTACTTACTTAGCTTTTTCATTAGCATCGTCATCGACATCTGGTTTCTTGTCTATTTCACTTCTTACTTTGTTAAGTAATGCATAATCCAAACCCTTGACAAGATGGGTGTGTTCAACATCACCTGAAATACACCGCGATATCCCAAAAAGTAGATGAAGTAAGAAATTTAGACCTTGTTGCAGAAAATATCAAGGGTGATAAAAGAAGAAGCTGATGGAATACTATATAGGCATAAAACACTAGCTTCCCAGTAAATGATAAAATAGTATAAACAAGATGCACATGTACCATATCTCTGATGTTGCACTAAACTTTTGCAACAATGTATGTAAAATCTACCACAATATGGAGGAATAAAAAAAAAAAAAAAATCACTGAAGGAAACAAGCTTGCAGATGCTGCATCTCCTAACAAAAATCTAACAACATCATATAATACTAACCTCCAAGATACTTGCTCTTCTCGATAGATAGCTTATGCTCATCAGCAGACCTGTGAACAAAAAATTCGACAAAAAAAATGAAAAAATAAGAATTTCTTCATAACAATGATGGCGAACCTTCGTATAAGCAAATTAGGGCGACATAAAGATAAACTTAATCTAAGCATTATACCGCAGCTGGACAGTCCCAGGAGGAGCAACAGCATGGAAGGCGCTCAATTCGGTCGGGTCATAATCAGGATTCTGATCCTCTCTCCTCTCTTTGGCTCTATCTCTGTACTTAGGCTGTTCTGGTTCCTCTGCCTTTTCCTCCCTGCAGAAAGCACGCAGACACAGTGTTTTTGATAAACCCGAGTTGCACCTCAAATTTCCATAAACAAATCAAAACGTAGCACCATTAAATGCATAACATAAACAGTCATTCCGTGCGAAATAATCCTAATCCCAGCACCGCTTTGGAGGAAATTTTGCCGTGAAGGAAAAAGAAAAAACAAAAACAAGAAGCAAAGTTTAAGTAAAACAACTGAAGAAGGTGGTTATTAGAAACATACTTGCGACGAGCTAATTTCTCTTTGTAATGGTTACGCTTGGAAGACGACATTCTTTCAATGAAGCTCCAAATTGAGTAGGAAGAATCAGGCGAGCTGAGCTTTTTACTTTTATAATCTTTTACCCGAATTCGTTTGGGTTCTGAATTACATAAAAATTTAACGGTTAGGGCTTTTTTGCTATCACTCAGCCAGGTTATACACAGTTCGATACGACAGTGTTTTGGAGGTCGGAAACTCGGGAAGTTGGAAGATGATGGTTTCAACCTCCTGGACAACTTTATCGAAATTACTTGAGTGTCCTTGGGCCTGAGGAATTAAGCGCTAATGATGGCCCTATCCTGGTTATTTGTTATTTGGGCCTGTCTTAACATGTAACATCTCGGCCCAACCACTGTTTTTTTACACACAAATGAAAAAACATTACATCCTCCCCTTCTAATTAATAATATTCTAAGTATTGTTATTGCTGTTGACGGGTGGATAAAAACTGAGGAAGGTAACATTGACGAGTTACTGTCTGAGATTACGACATTCGAAAACTTATTGGTAGTAAAAATAAACTAAAGAGAGTAGTCGTTATTTGATTTCACGTTCCAACCAAGCCAGAGAAAATGATGTTTACTTTCCTGCTCCTTTATCTCAACTAATACCACTACTTATAAAGCCCATGCAATAAAAAAACAAGTGCCTTGGTACATTAGCTCTAGTAATGTAGCGATAATACTCCCTCGTCACCACTTCTTTTTGTAATTAAAAAAAGAAGGTCATACTTCATATATAAAATAGTTCAACAAATATTTTGGATCGGATGAATTCTTTAATTATGAGATACTTCCTCTGTTCCAAAATTATTGTCCAGTTTGAGATTTCACTTTTAGTACAATTTGAACTAAAAATGAAAATTCAAACTGGACACTAATTATGAGACGGAGGGAGTACTTATTACTTTCTTTATAAAAAAAAATAAAAAATGGTAGCCTTGTTTGTGTGGTAACAATTCGGCCAGAAACGTGAGATTGTAAAAATTTGTGACCTGTAATTTTATCTTTTTCGATCCATATACATATCGCTTTTTTTAATTAAAATTTTTTTTCCACCGAATGATAATTTATTAAGTTATATTAAGCATTAGAAACCAAAGTTCTCACCTAGCTCAGCTGACAATATTAATGTTGACAAGGACAAGTTATATGTAGGTTGACCATTGGCCTCATTTCATTGGTGTAATCGACTTTCACTTATAGTATAAAAATCCAAAAAAAAAAATTTATTGTTTTCCTTGATTGTGTTTACGCTGCCTAAGCCAGCCAGAATCAAAATGAGGCCAAGTTCATCTTCTTGTTCATCATCATTCATCTATGCAAATCTTGTATTGTTTCTCAGTTTCCAGGCTACTGGAGGATTTTCAGTAGAGAAAATCAGAAGCAATTCTGCTTTCTTCATATTTGGAGATTCCTCTGTTGATCCAGGCAATAACAATTACATTGAAACCATCCCTGAAAACCAAGCCAACTATAAGCCTTATGGTCTGAACGGCTTCTTCAAGGAACCGACAGGGCGATTCTCCGATGGCCGGATCATTGTGGATTACTTAGGTAACTAAATTAATCCCTGTCCAATTTGATCAATAGAATATACAAAATGACTTTAAGTTTTATGTATGATCATGAAAACAGCTGAGTATGCAAAGTTGCCTGTTGTGATTCCTCCGTATTTGGAACCAAATGCTGACTATGATTATGGAGTTAACTTTGCTTCTGGAGGGGCTGGAATTCTTTCATCAACTAATCAGGGTTTGGTGAGTTAGTCATGAAATTAATTTAGTTACTCTCCCAGTGAAATGATTTCATACAGGTGTATGATTTGGGTTGGTGTTTAGGTTATCGATTTGAAGACACAGTTGGAGTACTTTGATAAGGTAAGACTGTCATGGATTGAGAAGTTTGGAGAAGCGGAGACTGAAAACATCATATCAGATGCAGTTTACTTCATAAGCATGGGAAGTAATGATTATATGGGAGGCTATTTAGGAAACCCCAAAATGCAACATCTTCATCCTCCCGAGGAATTTGTTAAGATGGTTATTGGGAATTTGTCTCAAGGGATTCAAGTAAGCACAGTAATCAGTTAACTGATCCTTTGTGTGGATGATTATGGAAAGAAAAAACGTATTCATCGTCCCAAAATGATTGTCGTTGTTTACAATATTTACACATTTTTCAGGAATTGTATGGGAGAGGAGCTAGGAAGTTTGCGTTTCTAAGTTTGTGCCCTTTGGGTTGTTTGCCAGCCCTGAGAGCTCTGAATCCCAAAGGCCATGAAGCTGGTTGTTTTGAAGATGCAAGTGCTCTTGCATCTGCTCACAATAATGCACTAAAAATGGGACTACTCCCTGATCTTCAAGCTCTGCTCAAGGGCTTCAAGTACAGTAATCCCAACTTTTATGATTGGCTTCTGGATAAGATCAATCATCCCACAGATCATGGTAAGCGGACGAATCATCCATCTACTTGTTTTTTGTGATTGTTGTTTTAATGGACTACTTGGTGGTAGGATTCAAGGAAGGGGTGAGTGCTTGTTGTGGATCAGGACCTCACAGAGGAGTTTTCACTTGCGGAGGCACCAAAAGTGATCCAAATTATGAGTTGTGTGATGATCCTAACCAATACGTTTGGTTCGATTCCTTCCATCCAACAGAAAGGATTCACGAACAATTTGCCAAAGCACTTTGGAATGGACCGCCTTCCTCGGCCGGGCAATCCAACCTGGAAGATTTGTTCTTCAATAAGGATAAGCAAATCATAGCTGACATTGTTGATCATCCAGAAAACCAACATCAAATCTCTTTGATGTTATAATGCTCTAGTTTGAATCCCTCAGCTAGCAATCTTGAAGTTTTCTTTTCTTTCATCAAAAGGGAGGAAACACCTTAGTTTATTATATGCTTCGGATTCCAAGAATATTGGAGAAATTGCCACTGCTTCCATCAAGTTTTGATCTAGAGGAACCTTGTTGCTTTCACTTTAAATCTGAATTATACCATGAGCTGGTGGAGGAAAAAAATTGGTGAGTTTGATTTGTGGTGTTGGGATTCAGCTCCTGTGTAATATAAATTCAAGAACCATTGCGCAACCCTATGTTTATTTGGTTTTTTGGATGGTTTTTTCAGATTATTTTAATAATAAATATCCCATCCCATCATATTTTTTTATTGAGCAGTAAAACTTTTTGTAATATATTAGTCCTCCTAGCTTGCTATAATACCATAAAGGTTATTTTAATGGTGATGAGAAAATTAATTAATTTCTTTAGTTATGGAAATTGAAAGGGTTGGGCAATTAAGAATTTAAGAGTGTAAATATAAAACTCAATTCTTTCATCTATTTATTGATCTTAAATTCAAACATAACTAGAGATATTAGTTTTCATTGTCATTAATAAATGAGTTGTTTGTTTAATTCTCTTGCATGAGACTTTTGTTATTCACAATTATTCTATGCATTCTCAACATCTCTTTCAGTTCCTCTTCCCTCATCTCCAGTTATCAAAGCATAAGTGGTAATGTGTAGATAATTTATGTACATTCTTGGTTTGGCCAATATATTTTTTCTCTTAGGTTTGTTGTTTTGTTTGATTGACATTACTTTTAATTAAAAAAAAAAATCTGTATGCGGTTCTTAATTTGTGCATAGTCAAAGTTAGAGTACCTCTAAAGTAATACTGCGATATCTCTCGTAGCGTTCATAGATAATTTTGTAATAATTTTGAATCCGTGCACTGTAAAAAATAATCTTAGTACGAATACATTTGTGAAGATTTCAATCAAAATAATAATAGTTGTGGCCAACAGTGTCCCTTTAATATCTCATATTTGAGTATTATTTCTCTTCCTTGGGTTATAGGGGATCAATGTGAAACTCATTCCAGTGATCATTTGATCACTAAATCGTTGTTAAACTGAGGAAATTAAAATTTGGAATGGAATCGGATTCCCTGAAATCATTGTGGAATCGGATTCTGACCATTCAGTTCGTTAGCATTTTGAATGGCAGCCTAAGTTTATCAATCAAAAAAATAAAAATAAAAATGGCAGCCTTTCATTGGATCCGGAGTTAAGAAAGATTCAATATATTTTGAACTTGAATTGGAGCGTGCAATTTGCTCGAACGGGCAGAGAGAACAACCTTTGCCCCCATATATTGGTCAAGAAAGCTATTGGTTTTCATAGGGGAATATATATTTTTTTGATGTAACCCCTAATATTATTAATATAATCCTAGACAACGAAACTACTCATATGAGCTATAAGAACTAAGGCTATGCCGAAGTTTTATGTTTTTTAATTAAAAAAAAAATTGGAATGGAAGTATGATTCAAATATCGACTCTTTACGTCTTGATTTTTTGTGTAATGTTTGTTATCATATATGATAGACATGTTTAATCCCCGTACTAAAGAATATTTTATTGAAATCTTTTAATTTTTACGGTCAAAAATTCATATATTTACAAACGTCGTAGATGTTATTATAATTGATATTATTATACTCATATCAATTATCTAGGGCATATTATGTCGTGCACACGAAACGCGTTCGATACATCTAGTCTACAATTATTTAAATAATTTATCTGTTGAACTATTTTTACAGCACAATATATATGACGGACACTTAGATATGAACCTGGATCAGCAGCAGAAGTTTGTAAATAAAAGAATCTAGTACCCTTACTTTTTTCTTTTTTTTTTCTTCCTAACATTACAAAATTATTCTGTTCCGAAATCTAAACTAGACAATTAGATTGAGACAGAGGAAATATTAATATAAGGATTCTCAAGTTCAAATCGAAAGGCATTCAACCAAAGGGGTTGTGGTGGAGTGGTAAGGACTCCTTCACCCTTAACCATAGGTCGAGAGTTTGAACCTTGCCATGAGTATGGAACAACCTTTAATCCTTTGGCCAGCTCTCCCACACACCTATCATGAGCGTGAAGGATTAGTCATTGTTGTCGACAGTGGACACCCTGCAATATGAAAAAAATAATAATAAAAATAAATAAAAATGGAAAGGAATTCTCAAAATAATCATGTACAAATATAATTAAAGGAAAAGGGCTAATTGTGAATAATTAACGTCGTACTCACGGATGTGCTATATTAATGATACTAGTTTGGATCCTATCCGCTTTGCGCGTGTCCGATCAATAGATGACGTAATTTAAAGAGTATACAATAAAAACTGATAATTTTCACATTATAGTGTATACATTATATAATTTAAATAGTGTATAATGATCTGTTTTCGCATTTGTAAATCATGATAATTAATGTTATGAAAAAAAATTTAGAAGAGACAAATCTTCTAAGCATTGACCAGAAAATTTAATAATTAATTCATACACGTGTAAAATGACATTAGCAAAAGCAAAAGCAAATTTACATGAAGCAAATTCATACTAGTTTGAGTCTTTTCATTGTACGATGGTTGGAATATGTTGTTAGGTTGATCCGATAGTTCCATGGAGATTAGTTATGTGGATCCTCTGTGCTTTTGCAATTGTCTCTGTATTTTCTTGGTTCATTTGAGTTTTTGGGGCTTAGCTAATAGTTTGTGGATTTGCTATTGTTAAAATGGGTTAAAATATTTCTGGTTCAGCTAAGGCCTTGCTGGTAACACATGTATTTAGTAAATTTTGTCTCCGTGTAGCATTGTCGATTTGCCACCAAAAACACCTGGGGGTGCTGTGTTTTATGTTTTGCTGAGGGGGACTTCTCTTCCTCGGATTTATCTCTTTGCCATCTCTGCTATTTAATGCTATGTACTTGAAGAAATAGTGGGTGTAAATTGTTATAGATAGTTGTAACAATGTTGACAATGTGATTTTGATGCCCAGGATCCACAGTTTCAATTGGGAGATGATGTCCATGCGGGTAATGAGGATCAAATGGCTGGAGGGGGACCTTCTTGCCTTTCACTCCCTGAAAGGCAGCCATTGGGTTATCCAGTGGGGCTTATTTGTTGCTATCTTTCTTTTGAAGTTTGTGCTCATCTTTTGCCCTTGGCTTTGGGTAGGACTTAGATATGTCGGTTCATTGCAATAATCTTTTTTGGAATTTAGTTTGAGCAGGTAATAGCTAACTCTTCCGCTCTAACAATTAACATTAGCTTGCTGTAGAACGATGGTTGTAAAGAATGAATGGTATTATTATTATATGGCGTAGAAACAAATTTAGTCTGGTTAGCTGTTATGTGACTTAGGCCCTGTTTGGTAAACAATTTAAGCACTTAAACTTAATTGATTAAGTGCTTAATTGATTAGCACTGTTTGATAACACAATCTCATTATAAATTAATTGATTAATGACTTAACTAATTAAGGACTTAAATTTTAAGTGCGTTTGACAAATCATATTAGGATGTCTTAAAAAATTTAAGTGAGTCTGAAATACTAGTACGAATGTGAGTTTATAAATAAGTGATAGGTTCATCACTTATGTCTGAACTGAATTTCTGAGATGATTTTTTTCTATGTATTTACTTTTATGTTTATACTTTTGATATTTTATCTTGAAATATTTTTATTAATCTTGATATTTAGTTATAATTGAATTTATTTAATTATTTTTATTTAATAAATATTTATTTTAATATAAAAATAAAATACTAATAGAGTCCATTATAAATATGTATTTATCATGATATTTTTTTGACAATTATAAAGATATGATATTATTATTAACTAAAAAAAATTATTATATGATAAAATTTAAATATTTTTATCACATAAGTTTATAATAATACTATTATCTTTATAATCATAGTTTCATATATTTATATTTATATATATATATACATAAATTATTTTTATAGATTAAATTATAAGTCGAGATATTTTAAGTTCAGTGTTCAGACTTAAGGTTTCAGATATTTTATTCAGTTTTCAGATTTTAATTTTTATCAAACAAGACAAACTTAATCAGTTCAGTACTTATGATTCAAACTTCAGATTTCAGACTTCAGACCGAAATTAAGTTTTATCAAACAGAGCCTTACTATAAGTGCATGTTCTCGACTTGTGACTTACTAGGTTCGTATTTCGCATTCTTATACTTGGTTCCTGTCCAAAAAATGTTGCTACGGAGCAAGTGAAAAAAAAAGTTTGTTTTATTGAATTTTATGTCAATTATTCGAATTACAATTATTAAGTCTTTTATTATGAAATGTAACAAAGAAATAGAATTGAAAGTTCAGATTTGAGAGGGTTAAAACAGTATTATTAGAAGAGAGAAAATTGGAAGAAAATTCCATTTGATAAAAATTTTATGATAGTCCCCATAAGAGTGATTAGCTTATAAGCTTAACCAACCATCTTAAGAAATAGAAATCGAAATTTACCCTCCTAAACTTTCTTAATAATATTTAAATTGCCCTGAAGGAATGACAAACACTCTTCGTTAACATAATTCTTGACCACTAGACTTGTATAAAAATCAATAAAAGATTATCGGACACGTCAATTTTATGCCAAAGGTTAAGTAAAATTGATGCGATAATTGTCACAACTTTGTCCCGAGGAGATGAAGCTTCCTGAGGTTAGTATGGCTAATCACTCTAACTTGTGACCTACCAGCATCCAAACAATGTTTTCTACAGGCTTTCAGTGTCGAGTGTACCTTGTAACCCTTCTGATTACCCTTGAAAATACCATACTCAATTTTCCTAAATTCCCTCCATTCTTGCATGTGTAAAGTAGCTTCTGAATCCCCCGTTAATCATTCTTCAATGACCTTACTGGTTAGTGTTGTCTGATGAAGGAATCCCCAGCTGCTGCCAATGACTTTGTTCTTTCCTTTAAGATGAAAATGCACGCTGATAGTGCTGCAAAAATCTCCAAATTCTGCTCTCATAATCAGCAACCATTTTTAGAGACAGAGACTTATCAACGGTCGAGATTTCATCTGAGATGAATATTTTCACATAATTTCTTGGTTTTAGAGACTTTTATCATGCGGTCAGTTCTTATTTTAGGAGAGAAGGAACAATGATTATTTACTAAGTAACTAAACGCCTGTTAAGTAGACGGCGGATTAGATTAAATAGTAAGTGAAGATTGGATCACCTTTAGCTAAAAGCATCTCGCGGTCAGAGATTTTTATATAACTAAGAAACAAAAGATGATCTCCTGGACAAAATATCAAAGAGAAAAATTAAAGATGTCAACTGTTCAAGGGCAAAGATCATGGAGGATTCAAAATTAAAGGGAGAATTAATCAATTCCACCACGTTTCTAAACCAGGAAAGCATACCATTCAGAGCACTATGCTTTTTTTCTTCTTGTTCAAACAGTTTGTTGCAGTTAAAGTTGAGAAAAATAGTTAGAATAATGCAAAAAGGTTTTCTTATTCTTTTTTCTCCTTCTAGGTCAGTTCCATATTTGAGTATTGCAAAGTCACCAGGACATAAAATGAGTTGTACATTGTCTAGGTTGACTAAATTAAAAAAGTTGTAAATTTTGAAACTGGATTATTTAATGGTGCGAAACTACAGAATTGAGGTGGTAAAATGGATAACTACGGTATGGTATTCAACTCTTGTTTCGCGAGTCTTCTAGTGTTCTCCTGAGTGACGAAAAATCAGGAAAAAATATATTAACACTCAAAAAAAATTAAAGATATGCACATGAATATTAAACTAAGGCATTACTTTCAATTAGTTGCACCTCAATCGCATTGTGCGCCTTTCCCCAAATCGTGTCAATAGCACTTGTTGGCGAGTCAATCCAATTCTTTAGCGCCTTATGTACACTCTCAACTCTGCATGTTGTCGTGTTCCCAAGGTGCAACTTTTTAATCGTCCACGCAAGTACAAACTTCTCTTTGTGCGATTACCATATTTCTTTCACATATGTAAGTAAGTCCTTATAAGGACTATAACTGCAATACCAAGAAAGTACTTAATCTTACTAAAAACAAAATATTCTACTTAAAAAAAAATAGAATTATTCAAAAAACCTTATTAAGACTTACAATTGATCCATGGTTCTGACTAGTTCTTCATATATCTCCACAGTTTTAGCTTTCATAATTTTTGAACACCTTCCTTCCCCGAACTTTTAAGCAATACTGAAGTACCGCCTAGAGAGTCTGGATTTTGGTTCTCACATCTTTGTGGATGTGCCATGTGCACAACAAGTGGATAGACTCGGGAAAAACATCACTGATTGGTGCCATTAATCCTAACTCTCGACCAGTGAATAAAACCTTTATCTACTCTTTATCTCCAAGTAATAATCTCAACTGTACCAACGCCCATCGATAACTCTCAGCAGTCTCAGCATCCAACAGAACATAGGAAATCAAAAAGTTCTCGTTGCACGGGGTCATCCCGATAAATTAAAAAAAAAGGCATTTTGTACCTGTTGGTTTTGTACGTACTATCCATACCGACGACCAAGTGATACGCTCTATACAACCTTACCGATTCAGGGTGCGCCATGAAAACCCGGGTCAAGGCCATTGTATTTAAATCTGACTCCGTCACAATTATGTAGTTGTGTTCCCGAGCTAACCGAAAAGTCTTGTTAGCAACATGAAGACTCGTGCCATCAAGTACCACACACCATCTTGCGCAGTTTATTACTGTAGTTGTAAATTTGGCGCTTCGTAACATGGTCATCTGGATAATCCTTTTGAATTACCTTTAGAATGTAAATCGACCTTGTTCCCGACGCAGATATGTCTTCTATCATCTTTTTTGCTCCCTCGCTCAGCTTACTCATCTGGCGATGACCCTCCGGATGTTATATCATCGGATGATTGTGTTCCGCCTTTTTACCTGTCTTTGGACAGATTCTGTGCACATTGCTCGGCCATTCTTTATATCTTCTGATGAACACCTCAAATTTACACCTTGTCACTTGGGTTTTCGAATTTGGTCGGCGCTTAAGGGTTCCATCTCCGTACCTCTCTGGCATGTACCATCCACTTTTCTTGCATTTCAACAAATAACCGTTGTCCTTCTGCGAATCTATCACTAATTCAAAATTATTGCTGATTGCAATCTCTATCGCGCGCAAAATAGCGTCATCCTCTGATTGGAATATCTCAGAAGTGTTGAAAGAAACACTATGATCTTTATTTTCAACTGTATCCTACAAATTCTAAACATATATTCTAAATAACTTATTAATACCTAATTACTTTTACTAAATAAAAAAAATTTAAAATAACATAAAATAATAGATTTGTGTGAATAAATAACTTAAATGAATCCTATTCAATTTAATTATGATGCAATAATTAATAAAACATGATAAATTAATTAAATCAATTAATAAAATTGAAATTAAAAAAATAAAAAAATACCCGGGTCGCGGCACACACCGGCCCGGGATAACCGAGCCGGTTTCCACACTGGTTCACACAAGAAGGGACGGCAGTCCAGCGTACCATGTTGCCTCTTGGCCGGCGGCCCTACCGTCCATGTTCCTAGAAACCGGCAGAAATACTGTCTAAGCCAAGCCGGGACGACACGACCGTCGTCCCGACCTATTCCGAACGGTATTTCTGCCGGTTCGGCCTATTTTGACTGAAATTTTACAAGTCTAATCATTTTTTTCTTACCTCTGAATCACTCATTTTGGACTGAAAAAATAAAAAGGGTGGAATGGTATTTTTTACGACGATCTATATCTTTTACCATGCGATCTATATCCAAATGAAAAGGGTAGAATTGTCTTTTTTACGGTGGTTTTTATCTTTTTTCTGGCGGCCTTTAACACGTCTCATTTAGTGGGAGGCTATTTACTATTTACTAGGAATTGAATGACAGTCTAGTAGTTAGATTGTTGTATTTCCTGATGACAGACCAGTGTTCGATTCCCAACATGGGTTGTAAGGGGATTTTACCCACATTTAAATAGGGTTCACTGCAGTGAATTTTTTTTAAATAAAAGAAAAAATAAAAAAAAAGATGGTCTATTGGGAATTTGACACTAGGGATTCAAGTAAGCACATTTTTCAATTTATTCCTTCATTTGGATGATGTTTCAAAGAAAAATAGATTTACTATCCCAAAATGATTGTCTTGTTTGAATAAATACAACTCTTCCATTGCAATTAATTTTTCTTTTTCTGGATTTGTATGGGAGAGAAGCTAGGAAGTTTGCATTTCTAAGTTTGTGACCTTTTGGGTTGTTTGCCAGCCCTGAGAGCTCTGAATCCCAAAGGCCCTGAAGCTGGTTGTTTCGAAGATTCAAGTGCTCTTGCATTTGCACACAATAATGCACTTAATATGGTACTCCCTAATCTTCAAGCTCTGCTCAAGGGCTTCAAGTACAGTAATCCCAACTTTTATGATTGGCTTATCGATAGGATCAATCATTCGACAGATTATGGTAAGCTTACGAATAATCCAAGATATCCAAGAACATTTGTTACGAATCATCCAACTTCTTGTTTCTTGTTGTTTAATGGACTAATTTGTTGTAGGATTCAAGGAGGGGTGAGTGCTTCTTGTGGATCAGGACCTCACAGAGGAGTTTTCACTTTGCACTTATGGAGCCACCAAAAGTGATCCAAATTATGAGAAAGGATTCATGAACAATTTGCCAAAACACTGTGGAATGGACTTACCGTCTTCCTTGGCCGGGCAATCCAGCCTGGAAGATTTGTTCTTCAATAAGGATAAGCAAATCATAGCTGACATTGTTGATAATCTAGACAATGAACATCAAATATGTTGATACTTTGCTCTAAATTGAATCGATCACCAATCTTGAAGTTCTATTTTCTTCTTCTTTTATTAAAAGGTAGAAAAGACTTTAGTTATATGCATAGGACTAATATTCAATCTCCAGATCTTTTCTGTCAACTGCACAATTCTGAACTCTGTTAACCAAAAAATAAAAATAAAAATAATGATTAACTCTCTAAATTACGACTACATTCATGTGATATGACACCTCTACTCCCTTTATTGATATCTACCCCTTCTGTCCAAAATGATTGCCTAGTTTGGATTTTCATTTATAATACAAATTGTAATAAAAGTAAATATCTAAAAAGGATAATCATCTCGGAACAAAAGTAGTATTTATTATGAACTTCATAGAATACATATATTATTATTATTATTATTATTATTATTATTATACAGAAGGGCAAATTATGGTACAAGGACAAGATGACATTACAGAATCAAACTTCCTAGCAAATTTGAAAGGATGATCACTACTGATCTGGCACCACTACAAAATAATTATCAGGAATTGTTTTCCTGAATCTTTTCTTATATTGGGTGGGAGAAATCACGGTCGGACTTGAGTTCTTGGAGCCCCCAAGAATGTCTAATGCAACCATAAACCAGGTCTCCAGATGCTTGTCCCATGTATACTGCCTCAGGATATCAATTATCCCAACTACCAACTCATGCTTCTCTTCATCTATCCCAACTAGTAAGGAATAGTCCATCACATCTACAGACTGCAGAATCAAACAACAAATGCAGAAAAAAAGAGACGCGGAATTGAGATATGAGTGCTAACCCAACAAGCATAACAATTAGAAACTCAAAAGAAACTTGACTTACTGATAGAAATGAAGTATCTTTCCAAACAGCTCTCTTCAGCAACCGACATGCTTCGGATCCCAAGAATATTGGAGAAGTTGCTACTGCTTCTATCAAGTTTTGATCTAGAAGAACCTTGTTGCTTCCGCTTGAATCTGAATTATACCGTGATCGAGTAGAACCTTTTAGGTCGTACAGTCTTGTGATATTTCGCTTGAAAAAAAGATTTTCCATTACCAATATATTCATCTCGGATTCCTTTCCCCCCTTAAGATCTTTTGATGTAACCTTCAGAAGCAAGAAAGTATCCAAATATAGCAAATATTACTTAAAGAACCTATAAACAAAAGATGATCCCTAGAATTTGAAACATATTCCAACAGAGTGCCAAGAGAAAGCAAATAAACTATACTTATGAGCTATATTTTCGTATTTAGAAGCAGAATAGTCTCTTTCAGTAATCACAGGAAATGTATGTAACACTCTGCACGTGATATTATACAAGCATCTTAAGTAGGATTAGATATAAAAGGCCATTTCAAAAGCAAATGACAACTATCAACCCAAGTATTTGTTGGCCCTACCTTAAAAGTGAATAGCGTAAATCTTAACTAGCTAATGCCAACATTAGCACACAGGTAGAATCAGAACAAAATTTTGTGCCAATACCTTATAAATACCCAACAATTTTGCGAGGCAAGTGGCGCTTCCGTCCCTCCGAGGCTCAGACAAGTATTTGAAGTAAGCAGGTCCGAATTTAAGGAAAGAATCGAGTTCCATCTTTGTGACTTGCTTAATAATGAATCGATCATCCAAAGTCTTTGCAGAAAAGGCACTGCTCTTGCCGCGCTGTGCATCCCACTTCTCACAGCGACTTAGAGATCGTATAAAGTCTAATACAGAAGGACAGCAAGTTTTTCTTAAGTCCTCAAATTGCTTAGAGTAGTAACAAGTCACGGTATACTCGACCTTCCTCAGTGGACCATTGTCTGAGAATGATACTATGACATGCAATGGCTTGTAGTAAAAATGCTGATCCATGGTTGTAAAGCCTTGAGTTACAGAAGTTGAGGAGATGCTCTCATTAGCTGAACCTGGGCTTCTAAGGGATTCTCGAGATGCACCATTAAGGGAAGTAGGAGAAAAAAGATTCTCCGGCTCTAAGATTACCATCGAAGAAGATGACTCCAAGCGGTCATTTACCGGATCACTTACCATTTGATTGTGGTAATCTACTGATGTAAGTGCATATGCTATGATGCTGGTTGGTTCATCATCATAAACAGGAAGGACAATATCGTTAATACCCGCAGGTAGCAGCAGCCTGTCACAACCTTGATCCAGCAATTCTCTAAATGATGAGATGTAAACAGGACGATAGTTACTAATCATTTTAAGCTTCTGCTCATTTGTGGTGAAATTCTCAGGGATGAACTGATCATTTAGAATTGCTGCAGAATCACTGCCATGATTCCCATCACGTGACTCGCCATTTCCTCCTTGATTAAATGTAACACTGGGATTTAAACTCAGAAGAAAAGAACCGCGGCTACTGAATCCTTCACTGAGCCTAGACGTTGTGATCATCTTGGCAGGCTGACCAGGATTAATGGCATTTTCCTTTAGTTTCGGCATCAAATTGCTAATTCCATGAAGACGATTGTCTTTCAAAGTGGATACATGTATTAGACGCTGGTCCCAGACATAAGACTGAATAACTAAGTACTTCCTTAACCTATTTATCTCAAGAATATCAATGGCAGGTTGATCATCTGCTACTGTCCTGCTGATCACTTGGTGTAGGGATACCTTAAAACAGGAAACAAAAGAACCATGATTTGGGATCAGAAGAGAACAAAGCAAAAGTTGATCTACTCTCGCATTACAAAATATATGAAAGAATTCCCATGCAAAGACCAAGGGGGAAGAAAACCCTGTCTACAACACTTCGTTCTAGCTCCACAAACAAACCAGACATGGGGATAATATCAGACCATGTTAAAACAGCTAATCACTCCAATGATATTAGAAAGAAGACAAATGTTTTCAAAAAAAGAAAGAAGATGAAAGGAAAATAGATTCTTTCTCCCCTTCACAAAAATAATCAGGAAGTAAAACTGATTTAGAACATGACTTAGTGCAAAACACACCCGTTATCAATTTTCTAGCATCAAGGAAAGCTGAAAAGTTTCATATTGTGAGTTTTACAATGTAGACGTGTTGATTATTTCTGCATAAAGTTTACATAGAGTTAACCTCAAAGTCTCTTTTCTCCTTCTGTTGCATTACTTCCAGCTCTTCAAATTGTTGAACCAATTCTGGAACTATATCGCCATTGTTGACTGGACTTATTTCAGATATCTGATGAAGAGATCTGACAACCTCAGAAAATAATTGTTCTGCCCTCCTGCAGACCTATTGACATGATATTCGGGGAGCCAGGGACAACAAATGTTAATGTAAACTTTAGTTGCTCTCAGTGAGTGAATGAACTAAATGCAATGCAACTGCACCTCATCGGCTTCTCTTTTTATCCAATCCTGAGGATCATGATTGAATTCAAGCTTTGGTCGCGGGAGATGGATAGTATGCACGTCAATGGGTGTATAGTAGAAACAAGCAACCATACTCCCAAAACTGCAAATGCGGAATAAAGGTTTTTGTAAGTGTGCAACAAGCCAAAGATAAAATGAGTTTGATTTGGTAGGTAAATACTATGAGTTTGACAGAGAAAAAGGAAGAGAATAGATGTAACTACCATTTCAGTTGAGTTAAAAGTAAACTACATCTGGGGAGAAGGTAGGGGCTGTGAAAAGTGGTGTTTTTTATGGGCTGATACGTATACAACACTGTTGAAATAAATGAACAAGAGTAACTAGAATCAAAATTTTAAGCCTGCAAAGATGCTGCGAGATATTGCCTCCAACACCCTTACACTTGCAGCCACACAATTAAGATATCGTATCGCTTTAATGTCCTGTAAATTCAAGAAGGAACAGGACAACTTTGCCACACAAATCCATATCTTTGTCAATGCTCTACAACTGAGCTTTGTAAGTTGTCAAAGCAGTTCATCAATCCTCATTAAACCTTCTAGTAACAATATCACAAAAAAAAAAAGTATGTTACAGTAACAAGTTCAAAGTGCATACCACTTCTAAGTAGGGAAACTGCAATCAACATCCTAAAGAGGAAACAAAGGGATGCATAACAAAAAGGACCAGAAATGAATATGGTATGCATACCCATAAAACTGCAGACAATCTTGACCCAGGGAATGACCACAGCTTGCAACCCCATTGACAGCAGCTTGATTTGAAAAGCACAGTTCCAAAAACTTTCCAAAAGATAAACCCCATGCAGCATCAGACATTAATTTTCTCTTGGTTGTAGGCGGGAAATTATTTGCGTGAGGACATCTAAGACACCTGTGCCATGTCCAGATTCTTCCTTCTTTCTCTCCAGGCAAGAGAATTTCAGGCAGTTTCTTCACCAAAATCACAATGCTGCCTTGTTGATGAGTATAACACCGCCTATGTGCTTGAGGTGGCATTTGACATACGTGGCAACGGAAGTTCTAAGGAGATACAACAAAAGAAATTTAAGTTATCAAACTGAGTTACGAAGTAGTAAAAAAAGTAGACTGACACAAAAAGAGAGACAAAAAATTCATACCTGATCAAACAATTGCTCCAATAAAAATTGGCCTAAAGGTACATCAAAAGATCCATAGTAATTGATTCTGATGATATTTGAAGTCTCACATACAGACCCTTTCCAGATACATCTACTCATTGGTATTACCAGAATACTCTGATTATCAAAAGCTGGAAGAGAAAATTCTTCACTAAAAGAGGCTCCTTGTTCAGAAAGAAAGGATGTCTCAAGAGCCAAACGATAAGCTACCAAAAATCCATTCTGCAGTACACGCTTCACCTTCTTCAGCTCATCGCCATGGGCACCTTTCAATACAATCTGAATGGGGGAAAAAAAGAGGTGCATAATTTTCAGAAACATTGTTGCAGGAAATTACAGCATCAGAATATCTGCAACCATTAAAGAGAACCACATAGAGACAGAGTACACAGTGAAAACCTCAATAACACAGCCATCGGAAGCATTCAGTGATAAAACATTTCTAATGTATCCTCGATGAAAACAAATAGCATAACAGAGATGAATAGTTCATAAAAGACTGTCAAAGCAACAAAATATTCCTTTTACCAATATTAAATTCAAGACAATTGCATCTCCCCAGTATTGAATACTAATCGTTTACTCACAGTCATAGTTTACTGCATGAATTTTATGAAGAAACACTTTGGAACTCAAAGGATTCATTGGACAGCCTACTTCCCAGCGAATGAATGAAAGACATGTTAGTAATGACTTCATTTAAGCATCTAATCTTAGGCAGAAAATGTGATGTCAAACTAACCGCAAAGTCCAATGGCTTTGAGCAGCCCTCGAAAAACATCAATGCCTTGGTCAAATTTTTTCCAACTGGACCAGCACTACCATGATCTTCAAGGAATTTCTCAACATGGAATGAGTCACAAAATCCCAGGTCATTGCCAGTAAGATGGTCCAGAGAAAGCACAATTTTTGCACCAGTACTACGCGATATATTCTCCAGAAGGGGCCTCTTTATATTGTGAACAAGAGATATATTTTTTGCAAGAAGATAATCCTGATCATGTTGGGATAGATTTTTTTCTACTAAAAGGACATCTGGATGAACAGAATCACTCTTCGCAAAATCCATCTTTAAATGGTTCATCTCCTGAAGGTTATACAAAGAGAAATGACAAAAATGATTGACCAATACTTAAAGCCAATACATGTAGTATGCTTAATAAATGGTGAAAGGGGAGGAAGGAAGTCAATTTGAAACCTGCTGCAACAAAGTATCAAAGCTTGATGGATGGTTTGTCACCCTTTGGTACTCAAGAGACCCTCCAAGGATACACAATCGAGGTTTGTCAAATTTTGATGTCATTTGGTGATGCGCTACATCTTTTTTACAAACAACCCCTTTAACCACCTTGCTGATCAAAACCAAGAAAAGACCTTACAATTAAAGTCAAACTAAGTACAAGTACATGACCAGAGACTAATTCGTCACAAAGTTATGATCATAACAGACATTGTCCAATAACATTAGTAATCAACCTTAGTTTGCACTAAACGGATTTGAGAAGCCATCTGTTTGGTTGGTTTTTCTCATGGTTTTTTCACAATTTTTAATTAATAACTGTCTCTCCTAACATATATTTTTAAATTTCCAATATACCTTTTTACATTCTTAATATTAAAAAAAAAAAAACTAAATACACACACTACAAAAATAATCCAAAACATAAAATTAAGACGTGGTAATGAACAAAAAAAATACGCCTTTTCACAGAGTCTGTAAGCGCAGAAGCTGATAAATACTACACAAGAACATATTGGTCTGCCCAGTTAAACTGGATCATTTGATGAGAATCTAAGCAACACATACCTCTGACTACGTTGCCCACAAGCTACACATTTCACTTTCACATATTTACCGGGATTCATTTCTCCATTTCTCCTCATATGTGGTATCAAAAGTGTGGCAGCTTCCCATGATAGAGACGTAATAATTTCTAACCAACTCTCTACTTCATAAACAGGTAGGTCTTCCTCCTGCAATAACTGAGAAATCAAACTTCTAAAATGCCTATCAAACACGTTTTTCATAGCCTTCCTCCGCTCCTCGGTTAATACTTTATGATCCACACTACCAAAGCTGCTGGACGGGCGCAAGCGATCCCATTCTCCTGCAGAAGCATGATCTTCAGATAGAATGGGTTCTTGATCGTTCTCCTCATCTTCTGGCTCAGGAGGGAGCCATAATAGGCCATTGTTCTCTAAGTCTAAGGATTCGGCCTCTGTCGGATTCATATCATATGAAGCCGGAACTTCACCAATAGCAGTATCACTTAAACCCTTTGTTTCTTTGCCAAATTCTTTTGTAACATCTGAAACACAGGCATCCATAATTTGAGGTTGCCGAGCAAAATTATAGTAAAAAAATTCAGTCTTTGAATAGCGTAATACTTGTCTCTGACCCTATTCCTGGAAGATACAAAACAGAAACCCATGAGTTACAATGGCCTATATTTACTATTTAGCCCTAAACAGTTGTCGAAACTCAATAATTTTCCCTCTCAAAAATTTCCACAACTTGAAGGAAATGTACCTGAAGTTGTAGCATCATGGAGAATGAAATTCCTGTAGCTTCCAAAAATAAAATTGTGGAACTTGAACAGACTCAGAGATCTTCTTTTTAAGGAAGAAATCGCTCTTCATTTTTTATTATATACACAGAGCCAAATGTACAGGATTCACAACTACCCTCTTCAAGAAAAGGACTAAAAAAAGTTTTCGCTTTACAAGTGCAGAAATTCAAACGACTTGATGAGTCATACATAATGTGTACATGTTTAAAAAAGAAAAAAACATAAAAAAAATTGACAAACTTGTGGGAAATGGTTTTATAATGCAATACATAAATCTTGATAGTTACAAGAAAAAATAATAGTATTTGTTATCTGACAGGTACCATACTGGCATCTCTTTGTTGGTGATTTGTGATTTGCTGTGAGTATAATAATCATATATGTATCACACGGTCAAGTACAAGTGTATTAAGATCAGATCATCGTATCAGGGTTGAAAATGGAGTTTGGTTTTTGGAGCGTTGACGAAACAGGTCAGTCGGGCTGAAAATTCAATCTTTTCTTTTCAACAAATTTGCTACCTTTGTGTGTCCCATAAAATGTTTATTAATTCACTTTGTTGTAGTATTTCAGGAAAGAATTAATCTAACAACAGGCAGCTTACGCTTGGAGAAATTCCAATCCATTACTAGCTATTATATCAGCAGAAAGAACAACTAGAGACTTAACATTTCATCATATGCATGTATCCTAATGCTTGAAGGAGCTACATCATTTGGGGGTTACGGGAGTTTATAGAAAAGCATTGTTTGCACTTTGGATTGAAATCTGCAAATAAATCTATGAAGCAAGAGGAGGAGGAGGAGGAGCATCGTGCTTGAGCAGCATAAACAGGAAATCCAACTTGTCCACCTGAGCATAAGGTGGCTCCTTGACAAGATTTTGGACCTTCTCAGCATCCCTTCCGAAGGTTCATCAATGATTTGTGGGCCGAAATGACGGGAGAAGGCGCCTTCGAATATAGGTCTCATGTAGGTGCATACAAGCTGAATATCTTCAGAGGTTTTAAAACTTGATGGAATCTGCACCTCTTCCAGTGTTTTGATACTGAAATGAGTACTACTTGAAACCACAATGTCCTTCATCTCTGAGGCCATTGTGTAGTATATGGGCAAGTTGAAAGAGTCGACCAGATCTTCACAGATTATTCCCTGCAAAACTTAAGCAAATCAATCAATTGAGACATGACAAATCAGATAATGTAGTACTATTCCTCCTGTTAAGAGTCTCACATATTCTCTTATATACTACATATTCTTCTTCAGCCTTTTTTTTTTTTTTTTTTTTTTGTAATCAAACAAACCAAACAACCTGTGAATTCAAATAGCTCAAACATATAGCTATAGTACCTCGTTTACCATATCAGCAAGTGCATCAGTGAAACATTCGAGGAGTTGTATTTGAATCGAGTCAGAGTGCACAATCCCTTGTGGCCCGCAAGGTACGAGAATTGACAGTATTCCTCCAGGGGCCAATTCTTGTGACCTGGCCTCAAGGAAAACTTTCATGTTACTGTAGAATTGAGCCCTGAATGCTTCGACAACCTGGTTGGAGCTCCTCGCATACGTTATTCTCCCCTGGTTCCACAAGGCAATACCTTCCCCCTTGGTTATACCATCAGGGACTTGGCTCAACCAGTGAACACTCGTACTTGAGTTCATCAAATTGATGGATGAGTTGGGAAAAACACGGCCGTGAAAAGAGCCTGGAACTCCAGCTGCCATGTATTGCCTGTCAGGTGGAAGTCCCTTGAACAGCATATTGAAATCGTTATCAAGTTGATCGTTGAAGAAGGCCTGGAATTCGGGTATCTTTTCGAGGGATTCGCAGTACACTTACGCTTCACTGCATCAAGTATGATGTCAATGCATGAAAAAGTGTTGGGACCAACGGAACATCCAAAATCTGCAATGGAGAAAACTTGCAGATCATCTCCAGGCAGTTCAAGTGAAGCTAGAATACCATCCACCAGCAACCTCTGTGCCTGCTCTAACGCGCTTTCCTACATACAACAATTAAACAACAAAAAACCAACCTGATTTTGTAGTTGTCACAGTTGATTGAATCTAAGGAACAACAAATGTTTGCTGTTTTCCAAGCACTAATTAATTGTGTGGGGGAAAAAACGAAATATTAATAAACCTGCCACTTTTGAGTTTTTGAAGTAGCTATCAGGACCATCTCCAGATGTCATTACAACAGTAGAGCTCTCCATTACTTTCTGATTCCCAAATGCTCCCATCTCAAGTTATTTATAGTTTCCCTTCAGTCCATAATAATGGCGTTGACAATAATAAATGCCTTAATAATTCGTTTTATCAGCTTTTGTAATGACATCGGAGAAAGAAATTTTGGAATGATAGTTATAAAGTTAGAAAGATACGGATAACACACTTACAACTTGACTCAAGTCCTTGATTAGTTTGACACTATATTTCTAACCAATATCAAAAGCATATTTCTTATCCACCATTTTATAGTAATAGTCTTATTTCCAACAAACTATACAATTGGAAAGTCTCTACCACACGGTCCAATATATAGCCAACTTCACAAATAAGTATGCATGTCTGCTTTTGCTCAAGGTGAACATTTAAATGTCAATGGCAAAACGTAAAAACAATCCCCTTGAATCTTTATTTGGCCATGGAATGGTGTTGGAGTTTGACAAGTGTATAGTAAGCACCCTCTTCTCCTTTATTTAGTAGCTCCTCATGTGATCCTTCTTCTATGATCCTACCACTATCCACCACTGCGATTTTGTTGGCATTTTGAACTGTTGATAATCGATGAGCCACAATAACACATGTCCTACCAACCATGGTTTTCTCAATGGCATCTTGCACCAGGTTCTCTGATTTGCTGTCCAAAGCACTGGTTGCCTCATCCAGTAGAAATATAGGAGCATTTTTCAGCAGTGCCCGAGCAAGTGCTATTCTTTGCTTTTGCCCTCCTGATAGCTGCACTCCTCTTTCTCCGCAGTATGTTCCATATCCGTCTTGCATTGAACTGTCCAATGTTATAAGTGCATGGAAATTAACTTAACACAAAAAAAAAAAACCAAAAAACAAAGAATGAAGAAGACTAGGAATAAACCTTATGAATTCATGAGCATTTGCAAGAGTTGCAGCCTTTATAACCTCAGCTTCAGTTGTGGTTGCAGTTCCATAGGCAATATTTTCAAAGATTGTTCCTGCAAAAAGACTTGGCTCTTGACCCACCCATGCAATGTGTGACCTTAATGCTCTGAGGTTATACAGCTTTATGTTAATCCCATCTACTTCAACTGACCCTTTTGATGGATCATAGAATCTCTCAATCATTCTGATGATTGTTGATTTCCCGGAGCCACTTTGGCCTACTAGCGCCACAACTTCCCCTGCTTCAATTCTTAAGCTCAGTTTTCTCAGTACCATTAGTTTTGGTCTGGTTGCGTAGAAGAACTCGACTTCTCTTAGTTCTATTTTACCACTTAGGCTCTCTGGAATAATGCCATTTTGGTCATTGGGCTCTATCTTGCTCTTTCTTTTTAGAATGGTGAAGATTGACATCAATGCATTTGTTCCCCTGGATAGATCTGATGTCATGCTTCCACTCTCGCCTACAGTTTTTCCCATTGCCATCACAATGAAGAATGTCTGAAAAATGTGCTTGAAAACTATGTCTCCATGGTAAAGAAGTCTTCCTCCATACCAGAATATTATGGCCATGTTTGCTGCTGCAAGAAACTGAGAGGTGAACAATCCTAGACCAGCATACCAAGATTGCTTGTGGCTCTCTTTTCTTGGGTCTTTTTGTGCTGTTTCAAATAGTTTCATCACCTCATCCTGTGAGTAAAATGCTGCAATGATCCTATGGTTTGCTACAGCCTCACTTGCCAACTCACTGCTTCTATTCTGTGACTTCAAGATTTTCTTAGACATGCTAGTCATCATCATTTCCTTTAGATAAAAGGCACTGATAGTAACTGGCTGTAGTGCAATAGCTACCAGAGCAAGCCTCCAGGACAAGGCCATGGACAAAACTGCTGCCAAAGTTAATCCTGAAACCGACTGTACCGCGAATGCCAAACGATCTGCAACAAGAGATCTTACGTATGTTGCATCTTTTTCTAACCTTGAGCACAGTGCACCAGTATTGTTTTCTTCATGATCAAACCATTCGGGCTCGAAAGTTAAGATCTTTGTGATGGTTGCCTCCCTTACTGTTTTTGTCAAATTTTCTCCCATGATACCAAAATGGTAATGCTGAATCAAGTTTGAGATGAAAGCGCCGATGGAAATGACTATGAAAACATAACAATATGTTCTTGTTTGGGACTTGATTTCGTTGTGGTCAATAGTGAAGTAAACAGATACCAGTGCACCTAGGCAAAAGGAGTGGATTGGAGGTAGTAATCCAAAGCAAAAGGCACCAAGGCTTCCACATAGGGTTGATTTCCAATGAGAAGTAGTCATTTGTAACAGTTGTAATGTTGTAGGTGGGGAGTATTCGTCATCTTTCCTTTGCTGTGCAGTTTTCTTTTCGTCGTGGATAACTGAATTCGCTGGAGAGTTTGTTGCCTCTTTTGTGGGATCATCTTCATCTGCAGTTGACGCAATGTGGAGTTCAGCTTCATTAGCCTCTTCATTAGAGTCGTGCCTTACTTCATCATCATGCATTAGTTTCTTCTGTTGAAGAACCATCATCCAGTATGGTCCATACTTATTCTGGACAAGTTCATCATGGGAACCTAATTCTACAACTTTTCCCGACTGAATGACTGCAATTGCATCGGCATTGCGCAGAGCAGAAAGACGATGTGCAACAACTAGAGTTGTACGCCCTCGGGAAGCCTGGTTCAGTGCATCCTGAACAGCTTTCTCAGACTGCGAATCCAGTGCACTTGTTGCTTCATCAAGCAGCAGGATCTTGGGATTGACCAACAATGCTCTTGCAATGGATATCCGCTGCTTTTGGCCTTCGGACATCTGAGTCCCTAACTGGCCTACCTGGAAAAGATCAAAGTCCTCGCTCAACAAGGAATTTTCCTGGACATCGAAAGCGGATGCTTAAGGAAAAGAAAAAAGGTGTAAAGGGTACGAGTTTAAACCTACCAGAGTGTTGTAGCCATTTGGTAGCTGTATTATGAAATTGTGTGCATTGGCAGCTTTTGCAGCTTCAATAATCTCATCATCTGAAGCATCCTCTTTTCCAAATAATATATTCTCTTTGATTGAGGTAGCAAAAAGTATTGGTTCTTGACTAACCAATGCCATTTGCTTCCTCAACCATTTAAGTTGCAGGGACTTGATGTTGATCCCATCTAGCAGTACTTCTCCTTCAAGTGGATCATAGAATCTTTCGAGCAAATTGATAACTGTCGATTTTCCTGATCCACTCCCGCCAACTAATCCTACTGTTTGGCATGGTATTATCTTCAGGTTGAAGTTTTTCAGTACTAAGCTTTCTGGTCTAGATGGGTATGCAAAATCAATCTCTTTAAATTCCAGTTCCCCTTTGACTCCAGAAATGGTTTCGCCATTTTGATCTGTAGAGTTGATGCTTGGGACCCGTTCAATCATTGTAAAAATGCTACCAGCAGCTACATTTGCTTCTGCCAAGTACTTGATGTTTATCAGAGAACTCCCCAGTGCACTGTAAGATCATCAACCACATCTGTTAATATCTTCCTCCGCAAAGAATGCTGGAAACTAAATCTGATATTATTCTCCACATTAGTTCTTACAAAATTTCTCAGCAAACAGCTATTAGTTCGTTATAATCATTTTGTGAAGCAGTTCTTTCTTTATACTCAAAGCAGTGGTGTTGTAATACTTACATTCCCCCGTAAATGCAACAAACTGCAGCTGTGAAAGTGTTGCCACCTTTCTCTCCTTTTTCAATGACTAGAACACTCCCATACCAGCTCTCAAGTGCCCAAACTGCAAATACCAGGCCAACACTGCCAATGGCCATCCCTTTCAGGAGTCCTTGTTTAATACCAAGCTTCAAAGTAGGTTCCAATGCTGCTGAAAATCTCTCAACTGTCTGTTCCTCTCCTATATAAGAGTAAACAGTCCTGATGGACGATAACGCCTGCTGAACTATTCCGCCTGCAACATCATAAGCTTCTTCTATCTGTTTGCCTATTCCCATCAACAGCTTCCCATACACTATCCCTGGAATGAATAGCACAAACAGTGCAGGGATGCCTATAATTGCCAGTCTCCAGCAAAGGTAGATAGCTGCTGCTTGTGAAGTTACAAAAGTGGCCAAATTTGCAATCAAGTTTGGAATCTGAAATGAAGAAAACATTAACATTTAGGTAAGCATGATTCCTCCAAGGCAAGTAACTTTTTTTTCTCATTTCTTAGTGCTAAAAAACCTTTTCACTGAGTACTCCTTGTATGGTTAGCGAGTCAGTGGAAATACTTGAGACCACTTGGGATGTTATGGATGTTTCTTGGACTATTTCAAAAAACCCAACATCTTGCCGCAGGACTGCTTCTAAATATTTCGTGCGCAAACGTGATGTAAGTCTTTCCCCAGCTCGTGCCCAACAAAATCCTTCTGTTTTTAATTCAACAAGCACAAAAGGATAACTCAACATGAAATTAGGTTCTAGTGAAAGGATATCATTACTTTGAAACAGAAGCATCATCCAATGTATGTCAATGGCTTAAGGAGGACAACACTGGATTATGTTTAATTGGTTTCTTTCATAACTCATAACATGATATTCTGTAGTTTGAACAGAAATGATTTGCAGTGATTGAGATGAGTAAGGATGAGTAACATACCTAAGAATGCCCCTGAACCGACTGCGAAAGCCACATAAAGCAGGTAAAGTGCATACTGCATAACAGAAGAAACGAGAAGTACTTACAACACCTTCGATTCAGAAAAACGATGATCAGGACTATATACAGCTCAATGTTTGGTTTTTTAGGTCATACACTAAAAGGTTGGCTTCATTATAGAAACATGTATCCTGAGCTTGAGCTTTGCATACCTTAACTGGTGCAAGTCTATAGTAACTGAGATAAAGGAGTAAATGATGACCTTGTTTACATCATGAAGAGTGACTGAACCTCTACCATATGCATTCATCAAGTTGGAGAGCACAATCATGTGAGCTGATGTGCTCATTCCGTCAACAATGCAACCAATTGTTCCGAGTGTCATCAACAACTTTTCCAATCCATCCGCGTGTTTGAAAACAAGGCGAAATGAACTCGGCTTTCCCTTGCTTTCCTCTTCCTTCTCCTTGATAGCACCCATGTTTGATGGAGGATTAGTTTTCTTTCCACCATTGATATTCAGTTATATACCTGTATAGGTTGGTGGAGATTAATCCACTTAAACTAAGCAACATCTCTTTCAGACATGTCTACTTGTTTGATTAGGAACTTTGTCCAAAAATAGTGATTCTTCTCGTTGCATTGGTCGAATGTTCCACTCTGCATTTTAACCAAACATCATTTTGATCGAACAACTTTGTCTGTCAGGCTCAGCTTGAAGCAGACAGGGTTGCAGGCAATAATTATATAGACATACATATACTTGTCATTTTCGTATCTTCATTTCAAATCCATACTTGTAGTTTTTCATGGAATATTGAAATTTTAATGCTTTTCTCCACGCCAAGACCCCAAGAAATCATCTGCATCTTCTTAACACTTGATGTAAGATATTTTTGGAACATCTAACCTGTGTAATTTTGTACATACCTTATTTAGCTTTTTTTTTTTTTTTTTTTTTAAATATGACTACACTTTCATTTCCGAGAAGTGTAAGCAAAAAAGCAATACTTAATCTATCCCATAAAAAATATAATTTAACAAAGTTGATTATTTTCCTGAGACGAAAGAATCCTATAAAAAAAACCAAAACTGAGTGAAGACAGATTCTTTACTGGTACTTTGCAAGTGATATTTTCCCAATTGATGTAAACTTTTTGGCTTTGTCACTTGTAATTGCTCTGAAATTAGGATTGTTAGGAGGCAACAGTCGGCCAATTTTGGATTTCATTATGCATTTTTGTGACGTCTGTTTTCTAACTATAAGCATTTTGTGACATGTGATATTAGCAATTTGCCGCCGTTCACTGTAACTCTGTAACTTGGAACTTTTCAAACATCCTCCAAAATATACATACGGGTTTTTCCTTCTAACGTACGTAATTAAGAAAAAAGATCAGGATAAGCAATAAAGAATCGTGTGATTTTATTTATTTATTTATTTATTTTTCGAAAATGAAAGAAGAACCGTGTGATATTAGCAATATTGCTACGAAAACCTACGTTTATTTTTGGTACTCTCTCCATTCCAAAATTATTGTCCACTTTGAAATTTCAATTATAATACAAATTGAACTATTAATAAAAATCTAAACTGAACAATAATTATGGACGGAGGGAGTACATTTTATAATGTATTCGCCTTTTGCATGGTTACATTTTGCAATAGTTTACTTATAGAAAAGTCACTGTCACAAAGTCTAATAATCATAGATTATTATTATGTATAATAAAGGATGAAAAATACAAATGGAGTGGAGGAATATTAATAGGAAACTAGAGAATATACTCTAGTGCTTACATTCAACCTGCAAGTGATTCAATCTATATCCCCCCTTGATGAATATTATGCATCTTGAAAACTTTTTTTTTTTTTTTTAGCGGTCGAGTAGAATGGTACACCAAATTAATCAAATATATATATACTAGATGCTTGGCCCGGGCAGATGTCCGGAAGCCTCTCTACTTTAATTTTGTGTTAATAGATAAATGAATTTTTGATTTGAAAAAAATAAAATAGCTACATATTTGGTTTTTTTTTTTCCCTTTTTGAGCCAAAAGTAAAAATAAAAATAAAAAAATCATTTGCCAAAGAAGAAAAAATATTGAATTGTATAACGATACATAAATCATACAAAATAATGTGAAGTAATAAAGGGGATAAGTTTATGGGCAAATTTAAATGTTATTTTAATTTGATTGATAAATGATAAATGTTACGAGTTAAAATTGTGTAGCTATTTTTGTAAAGTAGATTTTGTTTTTCCGGATAAGAATTTTTTTTCTTTTAAAAAGAAATGACACGTACCAGAATGGTTAATGCAATATGATACATTTGGAGTAAAAAATTTTTAATAATAATCTGTCACATCAACATCCTGTATTCTATTTTAATAGGGTATAAAAGGGATGTAAATCTTCAAGCTTTTTGTCTCCTCAAATCTAGCTAAAAGGAGTGATTAAGTTCCTTAAACGACACATTTCGAATCGATATCCTCACAAGCAACCAAAATACAAATCCAAGCAACATGGTGATGGCTTTCCATCTAGTTTAAGTATGAGCTTTGTATGTATTACTTGTTAAATAATTAAGCATTTCCAAAGCAATATACATATATATGGTATCATTATTCTAATTATATTAGGATGATAATATTAATCAACTAATTACGAATGTAACATTACGCGGTATTATATCATGAAATCATATTGTAATTTAAGTTTCCATAACTTTCCTAAAATGCAATCACAATTGTTGTAAAAGAACCAAACAAGGACTTTATTGACAAAGGACTGAGGGTAAGGCTTTTCAAATGATTATCAAAACAAAAAGTTCTCAAAGACGGAAGATCTATATATAATAATAATTTAAATTATTTTCAAAAAGTCTACGTCTTGTAATTAAAATTCGGCCAGCCAACTTTCGGATTTTGATAGTGATGAAGATAAACAAAGTCAAAAAGGGCAAAAGAAAAATAAAATCAGTTTAATACTAGATGGGAGGGAAATTGGGAAGTCCAAGTGAGAATGGTAAGGGGACAGATGGACATATGGGTGTGGATGGTTCGCCAAGTACTCATAATATATGCATTGTAAGATGTGGTTTCCATTTCTTTTGATTTTCTTGCCTTTTCCAGATCCATTCCATGGAGCTCATCTTTCTTCCTTCCTTCCCCATACATTTATCCTTTCGGACCTTTAAACTTTGCCTATTTCCCTCTATGTTCCCCTCTTTGAAGACATTACATTTTTCACTACATGTTTCTAACTTAACAAACACATACAAAAGGTTTAACTCAACCAACGTTGTGATATTTTGTAACTGGTTGGTGCCCGGTTCCAAATCGGATTAACCTTTTTTTACAAAAGATAAGAATAGTTATGTTCAAATATCCCTCTAGCACATTCTTGTGCGATGAGAAAGTTTTTAGTGTGAGGGATTGATTTAGATTATGAATTAGGTGCAAAATTATATTAAATTTTAAAAATTTAGAATATGACTTATGAATATGAAAAAAATATAATAGAAAACAATTAATGATCGATAAAAAAATGCATATGTAAATAGTAGTATTTGTGAAGTAATAAGTATCGTCAGTTACGCTTTTAGATTAAAGCTAGGTGAGACGCTTATACTAATTTATTACAGTGAAATTTAAGAAAGACTCGACAAAATTAATGTATGAATAATAGTTGGAGTGTTATTTTTTATCACACCGGGTTAATTTACAAAAGAGGAAATTTGAAGTGGTAGTTTGCAATTAACGAAATTATTAAACAACAAAATAAATAATGTAGACCAGTAAAATACATCGTCGTCATCATTATTACAGTATTATTATCGTAGCTCCAGCTGCTCTTTCTCTCTCTTAAATTCCAGCTTTTCTAGAAACTCCTGAATCATTTTTTCCGATATTCTCTCTTCCCCAATCCCAATTTTCATTCGCATTTCGTAAATCTATTTTAATTTAGATTCTGTTTTCAGCAACAACAAATTGTGTCAAGTTTGAAATTTTTTCTGAAAAAGAATTTTGATCCAAGATCAGAAGAGGCAATTGATCCTGATTGAGATTAGGGTTTTGAAAGTCAAAATCTCAAACATTCAGCGATTTTTGAGGAGAAGAAGGAGAAAGAAAATGTTACATGTGATCAAACCGGTGAGGTTGAGGCTGCTAAGGGGGAGAAAATGAAGCTTTGAGCATCCAATTTGATATCGGAGAGCGGTGAATGCGGGAGTGATTGATTCCCGAGCCCGAGGCTCGGGATTAGGATTGCTACTTTGTTTAATTGTTTTTAAGTAATAAGGGGATAAGAATCAATGGCGGCTGTGCCGGAGAAGGAACCACCGCCGACGCCGCAGCCGCAAGACATCACCATTAGTTTAGAGAATGATCAGCAACAGTGCTCTTCTAGCATCTCTAGCTTGTTACCACCTCCTCCTGAGGGTTTTATGCAGAAATTCCGCCTTTATCAGACTGAATCGGTATGTTGTTGTTGCGTGCTTATATTGTATTTGCTGTTATTTTGTTTTTTGTGGGGGGAGGGGGAGGAGTACAATGGCTTGATCCTATAGATGGCTTGTTCAAAGATGATCAAAACATTCGCCTATTGATTTGGATGAAGTATAAGTACTTGTTCCATGTCATTCTTTACCTTAGCTCATTTGGTAGCAATTAGCAATCTACTTCCTTTTATCTTAGATGTAAGCTTTTTGTGGATTGTTAAGGAGGCCCATTTCCTCAGTAATTGAGAGTTAGTATTGTGCATTGTTTTCCAAGTTAAGAAAAGTTCATAGTCTGTTATGTGGTAGATGTTATGTTGTTTTGATTCACTGACAACATAGTGGTACCCAGATTACAAGTGATCTCATCATGTTTCCACGTGTAGTAAACTTCTAAGTTTTATTCTGAGCTTTTCTGATTTAGAGTTGCAGCTTGTGTTTGGGTACGCATACACTGTCTGTTCAATTCCCTTAACTGATCCTTTGCTGAATCAGCAGACCATCACTAAGCATATACTCCCTTTGTTCCAAAACACGATATTGGTCAGAAAACTTGCATGCTGTTAAATAGTATGATGCATTCAGGAATTGAGCTAAGTAAAGGTTTTGCTTTGCTGGTGTTCCTCTGTTAGATTATCTACATGCTAATCCTATTTTCTGCAGAATTTCTACATGGTAGGAAGGGACAAGAGCCGCAGATATTGGAAAATTTTGAAAATTGACCGATCGGAACCATTTGAGTTAAACATTCGAGAAGATGTTGCTACCTACTCTGAGGAGGAGTGTTCTGTGCTTTTGAGAACGATACATCATGGAAATAAAGCCACTGGTGGGCTTAAATTTGTCACCACTTGTTATGGCATTGTTGGTATGTTTTACCACTTTTGATCTGCTCATTTCCCAAGTTAACTTCAGTTATCATTGCTCTAATTTTGCGCTGATTTTTTTAGGATTTATTAAATTCCTGGGGCCTTATTATATGTTGCTTATAACGAAAAGGAGGCTGATTGGTGCAATTTCTGGGCATAATGTGTATTCCATCGCCAAAAGTGCGATAATTACTCTTCCGAATTCTGCAGCCCGATCCGAAATGATGATTAACTATAAGAGCGAGAACAGGTTATTAGTTTGCTATATCTAAAACTTCTCGTGTTATTTTGTATAATTTTTATGTCAAATGCATGTCTCAGGGGCGTGTTTTGGTATTCATGATGTTGGTCATAAAGTTTAATTTTTGGATTAAACTGTTGATGATTGTGCGTTGTCGCTTTCAGCCACTGTCCTTGGCAAATTTGGCCTTCTAATTCTGTTGCAACTGGAATATACAATTATATATCTTATATTAATTCTCTTTATTGCATCTATTCTATTCCGGTTATGGGGCCATGTTACTGTAGTTTAGCTGCTAGTAAAACTTCGAGTTTGACAACTTGGGGCATGGTCTTACACCTATTGTAATCTAACTGCAGATTTCTCATCCTGAATTTTATTGCAAAGTTATGAAAATGAGGGCATATGTGCATTGTCCAGAATACGACTTACCTGCGCATTTCATTCAATTAAATGTTCTATGCTCCCAGAAGGGAACAAATATGGATATATTGTACTGCCGGCTGTATCACTTTCTTAAATCTCAGTCTCCTTGGTCTCCTTGTTTTCTGCTTTGTATTTCTCGTTCTTTGCCTTTCCTTGTTAATTGGTTTCATTTTCTTCTTCTTTAATGATGTAGATACAAGAAGCTTCTATGCATGGTTGATCTCACAAAGGATTTCTTCTTCAGCTACTCATACCATGTTATGAGAAGTCTACAAAAGAATATGTATGACACTGTGACAGGGAATGCCGTTTATGAAACCATGTTCGTCTGGAATGAGTTTTTGACTCGTGGGATACGGAATATTCTCCAGAACACTGTTTGGACAGTTGCATTAGTCTATGGATTTTTTCTGCAGGTGAGATTCAGTTTTCCTTGTTTTAATGGAAAGGACAAGGAAATGCAACATGTGGGATCTTAGGATACGGTATTAGTTACCAGTTGTCAAGTTGATATTTTAATCCCATGTCTTTATGATGATGCCTTGTTACCAGCTTTTAATACAACAAGGAATCATAAGAGGTTGAACGCTCCATTTAATCTCTGGGATATATTTTCATCCTAGTTTCTGCTGTACTTTGCTTTGCTTATGTTGAAGGGCATGTCTGGAAGTTGGGGGGAGGGTTTATTAATTGGAGGATGGGATGTTAACCCCCTAATGCCTGTTGTTTAGAATAGTTAGGCTACTTAAAGTACTTGTGTTGTTTTGCATCTAGTTGCTAGGTTTTGTTTCACATCTCTTCAGCGTCATGGTTTATAATACATGTATTGGTTGTGGTTGTATTACAGGCTACGCTGTCTATTTCTTCTCGTGAATTCAAGCTTACTCTCATAGCTAGGCGTTCACGTCATTATGCTGGCACCAGGTAAGATTACAGCTGCCATGGTCATTTTGATTACAAAAACTTTACATTAGAAAAGGGCAGCCTGATGAGTCTGTTGAGGCTGAAGGGCCAATTTACATAAGGTTACCTTGCATATCTAGAAGGGTAATAGCTCTCACCAGGACATCAAGGCTCTTCTTTTTGTAGATTTTGTGGTAGTCTTTACTTGTAAAAGAACTTGTTCCTTGCTTCTCGGCAGTCATGTGACATTATGGGACCATGCTTCTGCTGTCTTACTGTCTCATATAAGTTTAACTGTTTGATCTTTTGCTGGAGCTTGGATGATTTTATGCTACATGGCTAATTGATGAAAATGTTGAAATTGAGATTGTCTGAATTGAAGCAGTAAGTTGCGAAAACTTATAAAGATATATTTTTGCTGCAGTTTCTTGGTCCATTTACATAGTATGTGAATAATGGATTAGTGTTGCCTGGCATGTACTTTCTCTGGATTAGATAATTATGGTCTTCTTTTCACTAAGTCAGGTGTAGCTATGAGATACAAATCTGATTTTGGCTTAGTTATGAAGAGTTGATTGGTAGAAGGATACCACTTCTATTCGTATGGAAAAATGCAAGGAAAAATGCAATATCCACAGATATCCTCTTTGTAAATTTGCAAATTTACGTGGGGGGTATTGGGACTTATTTAATATTTGCTTACAGTTACTTATATCTTATCAATATATTTTACTGTTTTTTTCTTGGTTTATTGCTTTTCATACTAGTAATCTCAGCTTTTACCTTTTTTGTATTCTGAGTGATGATCTTCTGTTTTGCTTTCACTTAGATACTTGAAACGTGGTGTGAATGAGAACGGCAAGGTTGCAAATGATGTCGAGACTGAACAAATTGTATTTGAAAATGTTCCTGAGGGGTTACCTGTGCAATTTAGTTCTGTAGTTCAGAATCGTGGTTCAATCCCACTTTTCTGGTCGCAGGAAACTTCACGCCTCAATCTTAAGCCCGACATTATATGTATGTGCTATGAGCATACCTTGTTCTCTCTCTCTCTCTTGGTAGCATGTGTTTCCCAGATTTGTACTTCTTTTATGTGTTTGGATAGTTTGGATGACTTTTTTGTTTTTCATTTAGTGTCAAAAAGAGATCAGAGATATGAGGCCACCAGACTTCATTTTGAGAATCTGTTCAGTAGATATGGACATCCCATAATCATCTTGAATCTGATAAAGGTAAGAACACCACCTGCTAGAATATGAACTAGTGAAGTTCTTGGTTATCTTTGACTGGGTTGTGTCTTTTAACAAACTGAAAATCTTGGATCAGCATCTGACATGTATTCTGCATTAAATATGATGACCAACAGACTACCGAGAAGAGGCCACGAGAATCCATTTTGCGGACTGAGTTTGCGAATGCTATTGAGTGTATTAATAAAGATCTCTCAGAAGAGAATAGACTCAGGTTTCTTCACTGGGATTTACACAAACATTCTCGAAGGTTAGTCGATTTTCTGTTTGATTATCAGTTGTTCAGTTCCTTTGTGAAGCTTGTTTAGACACTAATTATCTTTGCCACTTTCCAGCAAAGCTACCAATGTCTTACTCTTGTTGGGCAAAGTGGCTATGTATGCACTTTCGCTGACAGGTTTCTTCTACTGCCAAGTACCTGCAGCCTTACTATCTCAGGGATGTTTGAAAGGGCCCTCCCTTGAGGAGGGATGTTTGAAAGCCCCCTCTTCTGAGTGAGTTTACTCTTCCATTGCTGTAAATACTTTGAAGTATCATAATCACTAATTTATCTTTGTTTCGTTGGGTGTTTCTTGGTTTCACTAATGATTGGAATGTGGTGTCAACTTTCGGGTCAGTTTCTTGTTATCTGGGTTTCAGGTTAATATGATTGGTTGGTAATGGTGTCTGCATAATGTTCTGGTGTTGTCTTTTGGTTGGGGGAGAATTGGGTGGGGACTGTAATCATGAGATATTTGGAGTTCAAACCTCATTTGGAGCAGTCCAAAAAGATATAAGATAAATAAAAGAATAAATACTGTTGTCTCTTAGTTTAGAGCTGTTAATCCGTTATACCCTGAATATGAGGATGATCTCTGCTGGACTGATTTGCCTGTGGACATCATAATTGTGATGCCAAAAGATGTCTGAATGCTAATATTTTCCGGCGAATTTGCTTGTCTTTCACAAGAAATATGCTCTTTTGTGAAATCGCTTGTTTTGAATAGATTTTGTTTTTGATTTACATTTTTTGATTGGGAGGTTTGAAATATGTTAAAGTACTACCATTGATTTGATGCGCCCTTTGGTGCTATAAGGAATTCCATTCAATATTTTCTGTGACTAGATACAAGTTTGTGAAATAGATTGACTTGCTTTTATCGTAGGGACTCTGTTGACAGTGACATTTCACACTGTGAGATTGAAAGCGAAAGCCACCACGAGAATGGTGGTTTGAACTTGGAGAATTTAGAGAAACGATACACTGGAGGCAATTTGGCCGATGGTTGTTCTTTTAGCAAGCCACCAATGTTCCAAAACGGAGTGCTAAGGACAAATTGCATAGACTGTTTGGATCGCACTAATGTTGCACAGTATGCTTACGGGTTGGCTGCCTTGGGATATCAACTACGAGCTCTTGGTGTAATAAATTCCCCAAAAATTGAACTTGATGATCCTTTGGCTGATGAATTAATGGGCTTCTATGAGAAGATGGGGGATACGCTTGCTCATCAGTATGGTGGCTCAGCTGCTCACAATAAGGTGAGATAGCTTCCATCCATTGCAATCATCTGTGTTGTTTCTGGCATGTCCTTGATTGCCCACTTTCATTTACAGTGCTTTATCTGCTTATGGATACTTTGTTTTCTTATATGTAGATTTTCTCTCAGCGGAGAGGTCAATGGAAAGCTGCTACTCAATCGCAAGAATTCTTTAGAACCTTGCAGCGCTATTATAGCAATGCTTACATGGATGCAGAGAAGCAAAATGCCATCAATGTGTAAGTCAAACTGTCAAATTCTGTTTTCTCATTATTATTTTTTTGTTGAAACTTCTTTGGTTCCATCTTTTATTGAGATACATGTCACTTGGATTCATATGATGTGGGAGAATTGAGGACTGAAGCTGTTTGCAATTTTTGGAACGTGTATTATTTCATTTCCACCACATTGTCTGTTTATCTTTTAGCTGTCTGATCTCAATCCTCTTGTACCCCCTTTTTGTTGGCTATTTCTTTCTTTGTGTATTTTTTTATTTGTCTTTTGGGGTCATTGGGTAAAAATGATTCCTCACTTTTCACTGGGACATTTTGTAGATTCTTAGGCTATTTTCAGCCTCAACCGGGTCAACCTGAAGTGTGGGAGCTGGATTCTGATCAGTCTTATAAGTCGACTAGGAATGGGAAATCAAGTTGTGAAGAAAATGAAAGGTATTGTAGTATCTATATAAGATAGTCTTTTTTTTTGCAGCTCTTTGGGTGGACTTGGACCATTGATAAAATGGGGTTCTCTTTGGTGCAGGTTATTTTTCAAAAGATCTCTATCGGATGGGAACATTTTACGTCAAAGCCACACTCCAATGTCCTCTTCGAACATGGAAAAAGATTATTCTACTTCCGATTTCTCTGATACACCTGAAGAAGGGAGGAAAGTGTTGTCTGAGTCAACACCAGATATTCCAACTTGTGAAAGTGATATGTCGTATCCGAGGTGCTTAATGTTTGCTTAATTCCTGTTCTACTAAGCCTAAGTTCCCCTGTTGTAATGAAGCGGAAAAAAGTTTATGTTGCCAACCCAACCACCCTCCCCCAACTCAGATACTGTTTTGCCCATTGATTACTTATTTTTACAGTTACCTTGTTCTACAAGTTCGTCTCTTGGTCACATCTCTCTCTCTCTCTCTCTCTCTCTCTCTCTCTCTATATGTATATTTATATAATACGGTTCTCACTCAAAACTCTGTGGTTTAATTTTAACATTCCAGGTTCACTCCTTCCATGCAACCAAGGGAACTTTTTGTAGATACCCCGAGAGAGAGATATCTTGAGCATGAAAATGGTGATACCTTTGATTCTTCAAATTTTGTTGATCTGGATTGGCTGTCTTCCTCTGGAAATTCATGTGAAGAAGAGATACTTGAGAGGTAATTGTTTAGACGAGTATAATGTTGAGTAAACAATTGAATTGAGGTAGTTTGAATTTTATTTAATTATTCATTATGTGGAGAGTGTTGTTGCGTCAAGTTTTACCTTGGTTATATTTCTTTGTACATTTGGTGAATATTTTATTATCCGTAGCTCTTTACCGATAGTTTTCTCTGCGGGCGTTAGTTTTCTGGGTTAGCTGAGAGAACTTTGCTGTGTATGGGTGTTCTAATTGCTTGAGAGAATACTATTTACATAAGTAAGAATTGAAGGCTAAAAGTTTGATATTTATTAAAATTGTGCACAAAGTTTGGCATGAATTGAGTGTTACTAGTTGAAATGGAATCCTTTGCAACTCTTCTTATTACGTCATGAAGTGATGGAGCCTGTGGGTCTTAAATTTGTTTTTCATTGTGCATAAGAGTATCTCGTTCAACCTTAAAGAAGCACTCATAAGTAGTTCTTTTTTTGTCCCCTCTAATTCTTGCCGGAACCTGTTGGACTTGGTTGCCAAATTAATCAGCTTCCGCTCTACATAAGAAACTAGGTAGATACTCTTTTCTTCTATGTCATGCATGGAAGGCTTTGTGAGAAAGGGGACCCTCCAAAAATCTGTCTGATAAACTTTCACTCAAGTTGTAGCTGTTTGTGCTTTATGCCACTGACATAAAGCATAGAAGCTTATTTTTCTTGTGGCTTATAGGTCTTGAAACCAAAGGCACAAGCCCCCATAATGTCCTTGCCCTTCATATTTCCAACCTCTTGCCTAAGCATGGTTAGAAATTTCTCCGTCTTGAATTGCTTGGACCCAGCTCCTGTATGCATACTACTTTTTCTGATGGCTTATCGCAGACATACGGATACAAACACACACAAGTATCTTGATTTTTTTTTTTTAAAAAAATGAAACGTCATGTAGGGGTGTCAATTTCCGACACGATGGCACGATTTATAGAGGCAACTCGACACGACACGACACGATTGACACGATTTGAGTTTTTATCACATTTTTGCTCTAAAAAATCTTATTAATCATGTAAAATACATAACACGAAATTGACCCGGTATCTCGAATCGACACAAACATCATGTAACTTTAAATAAATGGATATTCCGGGCTCACTTCTTCGGCCACATTAGTGCGTGCGGGTCTTTGTGTGTGTGTGTGTGTCTGTCTGTGTGTCTGTGTCTGTGTCTCTGTGATATTTGAAATGATCTTCAAGTCGAGGTTGCTAGAAGATCACCTTTAATGTTCTAGGCTCTTTGAACAGAGCCATGTGCTAAGAATGGCTTAAAATGACCCTGGGCACTCACTGGCCTGATTACAAAATATATGGATCTATGGTTAAATATATCATGTTTCTCCTGCTCTGGAACTAATGTCATTTTGATGTATGTTGTTCTGACTTTTTTCCTCTTCGTTGGACACAATCTGATGTTCTTTATCTTGTTTCTCTGACTTTAGATCAATGCTTACATCACCAATTGCTGGACTCTCATCAGAGAGTGTTGGTAAACAATTGTCAGGGGAAACACTTCATTCTATCAGTGAGTGTGGATCCAGTGAGAAGGTTAGCATCCTTGCCTCCTTCCCTGCCACAAAGCATTGTTGTCCAAAGCAGGAGGCATATAAATCTTAGAAAAAGGGAGATGGATTTCAAAATTTTGCTGAATTCATTGGATTTTTTTTCTTGATCTTGACGTGTTTACTCCTTAATACACACATTACTTAGTTTGGCAAAGATGCCGAGGCTTATGGTTTTACAACAACCTACTATATTTCCGACTTCGCTGCGTTCTGAAGGTCAAGATTTACACAGCCTTACTATTTCAATATAGAAAGGCTGTTTTAGTACTACCCAAGATATTTCAACATAGCCTTACCACCCCCAACCCCCCGCCCCCCCCTCCCCCGTATATTTTGCCGAAGGCATATGATTTTACTTTGGGTGATATTTCGTTTGTCTTTTCTAATAATATTTTCTTTCCTTGTGCCTTTTTTTTTCAGGGCAGGGACCATATTGGAACTGAGTTGCCCTATAGTGATAGCTATCGTAATGAAATACGTGAGAAATACTCGGAAAGTTTTGTACGTTGGGTAGACTATGGGGAGACACTCTGTCATTGAGTTCCTTGTTGAGTTCTTTGTCATGGCGGCATGGTATGAGCATTTTGCAGGTTTAATTATAGACACTGGTCGACAGTTAGTTGCAAGAGGAAAGGAATGGATTGCTTTCCGTGGGGAACATTTTCATGGAGGTTGGGGGTGGGGTTGGCAGAGTGTGGGAGTTTTGGTTGGGGCCATTGTTCGAACTTGAAGGGCAGACAGCTTAGTAATCCGCTTTCTGGTATGGGGAGTGTTTGGATACTATTCCCTGTCTGGAACATGCCTGATTTGCCGCATTCTTTCGATCGTGAAAACTGTGATCGAAGCCTGATGATACGTTAGTGTAAACGAGTAAATAGACATATCAATAGTTTTAAGATTCTTTTGGAGATGTATCTCCACGACATCTTGTAGTTATTTTTCTCTTCAACTAATTTCTCGCCACTATAGAATGCAGTGCTGTAAATATGTCAGCTTAATGGGAGCTCGTTCGTTTCAGTTTAGGGCATTGATTTGTGTTTTATATGTTTCACAAAATTACTAAAATTTATGATCGTGCAAATAAGTCTTTCTACCTTTATCCTCTTTCTTATAGCTATATGTCCGGACTGTTACTTTACTTTTCTCCCTTGTTAGTCTTGCATGTAATTTCCGAAACAAAATTGACTTCATGTGGAATCTCGCACCTCCAGACTTGAATGCTTCGGGACTTCAGATCTTAGCATACCTGTATTATTTCTTCAAGCTGAAGACATTTGTAATCCCTTGAACTAAACAAACTACATGCGGCTCCTTAAGCAGCAATCATCATTTTCACTTGGAAACAAGGGCCTATAACCAGAGTTTTATGGAATAAAGTTTTACCAGTGTTATGCACCGCACTTGACCAGGGGCTGAATAATAGTTTCACAAACCAAGTATTTTGTTTTCACATCTGATGGTCCACAATGAAAGTATGAGATAGAAAGAGAGGAAGCAAGGGCCGGGAATGCTAAGCCACTCACCTCACTTCACCAAAATTTGTAAAAGGCCAATGTGTCTCTTAGGGGGAAAAAAAGCTTCAATAAATAGCGCATAGTGAAACTAGTTCTACAACATTTGCTAACACTTCAGGATAGTGACCGGAAATGGCACATCCTCCTCTCAAGAACTCAGCCAAGAATTGGGAATATACGGGCAATGTGCTCCAACGGTACGCCATCTGAAGCACTTTTCTTAAGCTCTGGATTGTTGAACTCATTGCTAGGAAGGATGATAAGTTGCTTTCCCTGGTTCTTCTCCACAACCCAGCCAGAGTTTGTTACATGGTGCTCAAGAAACTTGTCCAAAGATAGACCCTCCGTGTTGATGGCCTGAAAAACAACCAAGACAGTGCCATGATTCACATGTTGTAACTTGCCAATAAAAATGTTGAAATAGGGAGAGAAAAGGGATGCTAATGACTTTGCAAAATTGATGGAATTCGAACCCCAAAACAGTCTCTAGAAGTAACTTAAAGCATTTAAAACTAGAAGTCCAGAGTAGATACTTCACAGTGAAAGAGATGACACATTCCACAAAAAAACAAATACGTGCTTTTCAGAATTAGGCATTACCACTACCTTGTAACGCATAATCTGAAGTCATGTATTGTACTGAATACCAAGAATACACAGAAGTGTTTAAATCAGATTTAAGCGTAGAAGAGCTTACCTCAGCAAGGATGGACCTTGGCAGAGTACGATAAGTCAGTGACAGGACATGTATGGCATATGCTTGAATTGCTTGCTCAAAACCTGCAGTTAGCTACTCTTTAGCACAATTACCCAATGAAAGCTTCAAAATAGAAAATGTGCAGAAAGAAGGGTGTGGAGACGCCAACAAAACTTGCCCAGTCAGAGTCAAATGGTAACATGAGAAATGACTTGCTCAGATTTTTCCAAAACAAACAGAAAGGGTATTAAAGACATCAACATGTAACTGCTCCATCGACTGATCAAATAACCCACGAAGCAATGACTGGGGTGAAACCACTCACCAAATAGATTGTAAAATACCTGGAACTACTTCTAATAAATGCCGGCTCCTTGCTGCTTCATCCCAGAACTGGCGGAATCTTGCAGTCTGCAGTAAAAGTTGAAATGTTTAACAGGTTTATGATGTCTAAAATCCAAACCCGTATGCTCATACAATATAAGGCTGAAAAGGTACCTCCAAGTAGTGGGAGAGCACAATTAGTGTCTTGAACTGTTCCTCCATTTGCTAAAATTTAAAAAAGAAAAGATAAAAAGCATCAGAACAAGTAGTAAAATAAAGAGAATTTGATTCAGAATTATTACGCAATGCCACTTCAAAAAAAAAAAAAAACAGAGATTATGTTGCTCCATTGCTTTTTGTTTCTTAATGAAAACATTCAAACAATTTCAAACTATGTTAAAGTTATTTTCAAATGGCACAACACTAAAGAGAAGAATCAAAGACAAACAAACTCATTCTTGCCAAAATAAATTCTTCCCAGGCCAAAACAAACAAACAATGGCAACATTCACAAACAATCTGAGATTAAGCACAACAGCGCCATTTAAAAAGGGCATACAACAATTAATGTCTCATAAATAAATAGATCATATTAAGGTATACAAAATCTTGTATATCTGATTTTGAACTCCTCAGCTACAATATGATGTAATTTTAAGCAGTTGAGATGACATTATTATGATGAACATAGAGGGTAAAAAAAAACCATAGCTTCCAAGACTCTGTCTCAATCATGTTTCTATATTTCACAGTCCTCCCAGACAAAGGCAATTATCTTTCAGTGCCAAATAATAAATAAAAAATTAGAAAACAATGCGAAGATGAGGAAGCCACAAAAAGAAGGCACTCACCACTCGCTCGGGAATCAAGAATAAACAGAGGCTGAAATCAGGAGCTGGCATTGCCATCAGTGCCTGTTCAAGGTTAAAATCAGAAGTTTTGAGTAAACATTGCGACCTTGAAACACATTCTGTTCAGTCATCAAAGCAAACAAAAAAAAAAGGCAGGAAATATGCAAACAAACTGACACACACACAAGAGTAAAAGTCTGTCATGTTTATATCTTTACCTTAACCAAAATGCGAGCAACAATCTGAGTGCTCATACGCTCTGGCTCAAACTGTAAATCCATAAACAAATAATTATTTCCAATGAGCTAAACCCAACAAACCCTTCACAAGAAGACTAACAACAAAAATCTCACACAAGAATAACATATTTCAACAGACTACAATACGAAAACAAAAAACAAAGTTGAACTGACCTGATAAAGACGCAGGAGGCAGAGGTTAGCATCCAAATTGTACGTCTGGGTCGAAACCTGATTTCATGAAATTCAGAATTTAAAATCAACCAGAGAAGGCATCGTAAAATAAATAGAAAGTTCAATTCCGGGTGAATTATTAAAGAAGAAGTACCTGTTCGTTGACGAAATTCTCGAGATCGGGGAGGATATCAGGGTTGTAGGGATTGACGGCGATGAGCTGCTCCACCGTGTACGACATGTCGGACGGGGAAGATGATGACGAAGGCTTTGGACCACCATTCATTTCTCTCCCCATATCTGGATGTCTCCGGAGGTTTCAAATACAAAGCTAATAATAACTCTCTCTGTCTGTGCTTTTTGAGCGACGGAGAGGAAGAGGAAGAGAGATTGGTAAAGCTGAGTAGAGTGGAGTTGATTAGGGCTGAGACTCTGAACTTCAGAAGATTAGGGCTGGGGAGCTACAAAATTTTAAAAGACTGATATGCCCTCCGAAATTGCCTCTTCTCTTTCTTGAGTAAATTGAGAACCAACCCCTCAACTATGCTTTAATCGTAAAAAAGAAACCAAACTGTGGATACGATATACTCCCTCTAGTCCTAAATCTTACTCCCTCTGTCCTAAAATTATTGTTCAGTTTTGGTTTTCACTTTTAGTACAATTTGAACTAGAAATGAAAACTCAAATTGGACAATAATTATAGGACGGAAGAGTAATTAAATTTAGAGTTTAGAGTTAGAGTTTTTCTACTTTATAATTACGATGGAAGGGAGCACTTGTTTTTTTTTTTTTTGGATATATGTGTGGTGTAAGTTGGAATTCGAATTTTGTATAATTTATTAAAATCAAATTGTAAGCTCTCAATCTTTGGAAAATGGAAAATTCCTTTCTAAAAAATTCAAATTAATTTGTAAAGCGCAAATCTATTAGTTTACTGAAACTTGGGGGTTGTTTTACGGTTTCTTATGTAGGGTGTGGATTTTATATGAATTTTGGTTGCTTGGTTCAACATTTAGAATGACGGTGGCCACTCAATTGGATTCACTCCAGTTCACAGTGATTCAATCAATTTTTTAAGTTATCACTTGTTTTTTCTTTTGAACAGGAAATATTTTAGAATTTGGACTAATGGGGTATAAAGTGTTAAATGTGAAAAAAGTGATTTTTCTTACACAAATCAAGCAGATAAGCGATTGACAGAATATCGTTTACTATTTACTAGCATAACATGAAATGTTGCAAGGTTAAGTGAAAAACATAAAACTCAAAATTTGGTGTTTTCTTTCTGATTTGGATTTTATCTTTCTTTTATTGATAAGTAAATCAACGTGATAAAAATTTTATAATATACTCGCGTAGACTTTTATATCCCAAAAAATAAGAAATGCTATAGTAAACTCTAATCCAACAACATTTTACCATGATGTAATCATTTGTGCCAGCTTACCCAATGATATAATCCACGAAAGGAAATTCGCATAGTAAACATGCATATTAACCTTTACATCGATTTCTTTAACTTACTGATAAAGTGGATGAAAGAGAATTTAGTTTGGAGATATCTGCATTGACATTTTAGTCAACTTTTTTAAATCGACGATAAAGTAGACAAACAATGTTTTATTGAAAACATTTACGTCGACATATTCGTCCACTTTTATAACTCGACGATAAAGTTGACGAAAACAAAAGTTGCAAGAAAATTTTTGCGTCGACGTTGTTGTCGACTTTTACAAGTCGACGAAAGAATTCGCACGTGATTCAACGCACTTCATCAAGGTCAAACGTCAACTATTTAAGCCCCACTACTTCCCGGAGCACCTTACCGAGCCGGCGACATATCTTCCAAAAGCCACCGCAGCCACCACCATCATCAATAACATCGTCATCCTCTCCGTCTCCGTCTCCGTCTCCGACTCCAATTTTCCTCGGCGGATATGGGCATTGCAATGTATACGCTCCGGAAGCAGCCTTCCTCCGGAGGTAAATTGATCCCTATTTTCTGGTTTCCAGATATTCAATTTAGTGAATTCGCTGTTATTTAGAATTCTGGATATGATTTGGTGTAATTTCAATGTAAGTCTTTCAGAGTTGAGCTAAATGAGAATGAACACACTTCACACCACCCAACTGAACAAAAGGGGAGAAAATAATTTATGTAGGAACTTCGTTAACAACTCAAGGCTGCTTTCAACGACGTAATTTAAGATTGTTGAACTTGGCTAATTTAAGATGTTGGCGTATTTGCAATAGCCAAAGTTGGGGAAGTGGTATAATAAGAAACTGTAACTTTACCTGTGTAGCATTAAGTTAGGATGTGAATTTAAGTTTCTGTTCGCCAAAAGGTACCAAAAGGTGATGTTAATAACCAATAAGAACTGGTAAGGTTGGTAAAAATCTTAATAATTTTGAACTAAACAATTTTCTTTATAGAAAAATCTCTGAAACGACTATGCCTCGTGAATGAAATGTTACTTTTGAATCCTTTTGCAGTTGGGGCCATGGAAGCGAAAGCTCTAGCAAGCCCGTCAGAATCAAGTGATGCTGGGGGTTGCCTGGAGGACTTAAATGATGATGAAAATTCATATGCATCTGGTTGCAGATCGAACTTGCAATGCAGGTTTCTGCAGAATTTGTGAATGTTATTATATCTTTGTTTGAAATTGGTAAGTTTGCCCTTTAAGTTCATATACTATTGTTAATGCAGTAGTTGTTTGTCTGTCGACTTTTAGGAAAGTTGCATCAACAGGGAGGTGGATAGATGATTTGGGAATGGCTGAGCTAGTGCTAAGGAAGGGTAATACATGGAATTCAACTGGAATCATTCGTAATGGCAAAGTCTTGTGCTTTATTGAAGAAACTCTGTGGGTGATTTTACTATTGGTTTTTCTGTTTTGTTTAGTTTCTCCTTCCCGAGCCTCATTTGAATGTTTCTTTCGTTTTTTGAGACAATTTTTTTTTTTTTTCCAGTTTCATTCTATGTCAGCTTTCGCTGTTTGCTGTCATACTCACAGTTTGATCAAAGAATATATTGTTTATCTACAGGTTTTTGGCTGAAATTGGAGCTTTTAAGATTTTAAATGATGATAATACAATCCTTCCCATGAGGGAAATTTACGGTAAAGCCCTAGAAGCAAAAAATGGATGTTTATGGGAGTCTTTTGAAGCGTATAAGCGCTTAAAGAGTCTTGGTTATATCATCGGTCGCCATGGTATAAGTTGGAGCGTGAAGAGTGTCGGAACTATTTTGCCTCCAGAGGGTTTATCAGATATCGATAAGAAAGATTTTGAATCAATTGAAAGTACTCATATAAGCAAGACGTTCACTGGGATGCAAAGGAAGGAAGTGCAGCCAATTTTTGATGTTTACAATCCGAGTAGCAAGTTTAAGAAGTCTTCCCCTGGCCATCCATCTTTTGTGCTCTGTCTTGCTAGGTAATTTCTGTCAATGACTCTTACTTTTTCCAGTATTTTATCTTGTGTACTCTCTCGAATATGTATGCTATCATTATGGTACTGGTATGGCTGTATTCTTTATATGCTTTAGAGAGTGGATAGGTAATAAGCTTCTTGCAGGAATGCATACAATGAAGTTGCTCTAGGAGATGCTTTTGTTATCTGAATCTTGTAAGAAAACTATGGGCTAAAAGATAAAGGCAATGCATATGAGAGGAGTAGGAAACAGAGAATTTTGAACAAGTAGTACTAATATAAAAGCAGTCCAGGATGCTCTAGAAGAGATAACAGTGTCCTTTGTATGACAGAAATTAAATCCAGTTAAATTCAGTTGCACAGAAATTTTAACAGTTGATTTTCTAGAAGAGGATAACAGTGTCCTTCTATGACAGAGGCCAACCACCTTCAAAACAAGAGGTTGAGGACCTCGAGAACCGTTGTGGCTGCCCTTTAAAGTTCTGTAAAGTTGATGTTGGACGTACAAGTTTCTTTTCGATTGATAGAGTGGAGCTTCCTGCACTTCCATGATCATCTCAGTCTGCATATATGTATAGAAAGGATGAGAGAAGTGATGCTGCAGAGCGCTTGAACCCTTTTGCTTAGTAGTGCCACATATAAGAACAGAGATGTGTTGGAGATTTTTACATTGAGAAGGTGCTTGAGCAAATCAACACCAGTTTCATCTAAGACCAGACCAAAGCAAAACAGTTCACTTTTTGTTAGACTGTTTAACCAACTTTATTAATTAGAGGTTGGTAATTGCAGCTGGTTACATGTCTATAGATACTAACTACACTCGAATTAGCAAGAAAGACTGGTTTACTTTTCCACTGCTAAACATATGTTCTTTGAAGGGAAAATTACACAATTTTAGAAATGAAGTACATCACAATCCTTTTCTTTTTTTTTCTTTTTTTTTTTTTTTTTTGGTTTTGTAGCGAAATTCACCGTAATACATTAACACTAGATATGGATATGTTTTATAGATTTGATGTGATAGTAAAATAATATGACTGTAATCAGACTGGTTACTGCCACAAAGATGAAGAAAGCTTCAGTATGAAATCTTCTTCCTGAAAAGATAATAGATGATGGACTTGCAACCAACATTTACCCAAAAAGTGAAGCTTTGAGAGTCAAACAAGGGGGACAAATTTTAATGCAAATTGCAAAATCCTCACAAGAAGGGGAGAGAATTGAAAGAACGCCAGACCCTTTTCATTAAAAAAAAAAAAAAAAAGGAACACCAGACTTGCAATAATTTTTACTTCTCATGATGATTTGGAAGGTTTTTCCAAATGTCCATCAATCAAGGGTTATTAAAAAATGAAAAGCATATATGGAAAAAAAAGGGAAAAAGGACAGACATTGCGTAAGTGCTCGTGAAACTCTCCAAAGAATCTTTACCCACACACAACAGGAGATCTGCAAATCTCAGTGAAAACTTCCAATGTGTAAAAAAAAGTGCCTGGTGGGGGTGCATGGAATTTGCATTTGCCTTGCTTGTGGGTTTAGTTCGAATAGGCCAGCAATCAGATATGTAGAACTGGTTTTACAAGACTTTAAACTTCTATAAAGAAAAATCTGATTGTCCCGACGAGAATCGAATCCTCAACCTCCGTTGTTCCTAGCCCTTAAACTTTCCGCCCAACCCTCCCACCCTTCCAAGACTTTATACTTGTTCAGAACTTCAGAAATATAATTTACAGCCATGTACATATGGCCAAACTCCAATCAGTTCTAGCAGATTATAGCCGATAAATGCCATTAGATGAATTGCTACATGTTACTGGTACTATGCATGAACTAAAATTTATGAATGAAGATGACAATTAGGCTAAATCATTAAGTTTATTTGCGTAGAGTTCAAAATGATGTAATGGCATACTCTGCAGTTCATGAACTTGGAACATAGGAGGAAATCAAGGGAACCAAATCTCCAAAGGTTTCATCGTGTGAATGATCTAGTTCTGCTTTGGACCTGAGAGATAGATATGCTGATCAAAGCATTGAAGATGCTGATGATAACTAGCTGTCCCCTCACCATTATAATTTGTCGTCCATTAAGATTAATCAAAGAAAATATCTGCTTTTCTGTTGACTGAAGAAACGACTCAGAAGACCATGTTTACATGCATGCACACGTATTCTGTTATCTGCGTGATCTCTTTATAAACCATAGAAGATCAATTAGTTTGCTCATTCACTCAGCCTCTTCTTCCTTTGTTAATTAATTTCACCATACATCCTTCTTCTTGTTTTCTGAGATTCCCTGAATTTACCTTTCAGAAAGATTCACCATACAGAGAAAATATGGCATCCACTCTTATCACTACTGTTGATTCTACCTTAGATGATGTTGAGTTGATGGTGAAACATGCTTATGTTTTGAATCAGAAAGTGTTTAAGCAGATGAGATATAGCTTAAGGAATCTCAAAACATTTGTTCTTATAGCTAGCCGAATGGATGACGAAGCGAGTTTAGTATCTTTGCTACTGAGGATTGGACACATTGTTAGCACATATGCACACAAAATTCATCCTCTTTGTGTTGATGTGAAGAAGGATGGAGTTGCTTATGTGCATATTTCCATTGTTTCAGGGTTCCAGAAAGAAATCGGATCCTTGGAGGAAGAAATAAGAGAATGGTATGTCAGGATGTTGGATGCAACCTGGAGATCATCAAGTCCTGTTATTACCACAGCTGGTGACATTTCTGAAATCATCACCTCCATTTTGGAGAATCTAGTTGGTGAATTTCAAGGTACAATCTTACAAGAAGCAACAAAAGCCTTGGGAGAGCAGATGAGATTCTTGAAAAGTTTTATCTGCTTTGTTGAACCCACACAATGCTTGTTGGCTCATGCGGAAACTGCCGCTGTCAATTCTGCATTTATCCTTCTCAGGTGTCAGAGAGCTCTTGATGAAGTTGATATAGAAATGATGAAAGAAATCAAGCTCCAGATTTCATCATTGGTTCGAAGAGTGAAGCCTATTGATGCTCAGGCTTGTGAGATTTACACTCAAGCCTTGCACACCTCAAAGCTGTTGAATCCATTGCTTGCTTCTCCTGCAGCAAGAGAAAGAAAGAATTTCTCTCGCACAGTCATATCTAATCTTTGGGAGCTTCTACGACTGAACATTGATCAGGTAGTTTCTATGGAGGATCAAGGGAATCAGATGGATAACATTGAAGCCTTTTCTGCAATGGCGTATTTCCTCGATTCCCTCATATCTAATCTATGGGAGCTGCTACTAATGAATAATGTTCATGTAGTTTCTATGAAGGATCAACTACAGGAGCTATATCAAGAACTTAGATCTTTGAGAATCATTCTAAAAAACCAGCACAACAACTTCAATGTGAAAATTCAGAAAAATATCAGAGCTGCTGTATGCGATGCCGGGCTTTTAATTTTCTCATTGTTCAAGACAAACACAGAGGAGCATCTTAGGCTTGGGGATTTGTTAGAAACAGTAAAGATAATTCTAGCAGAGTTTGGAGAAAAAGATTCAGAAGCACAAATGCTGGACCTTCCTAAAACTAATCAGTTGGGTTTCATTGATTTTGTGTTACAAAAATTGATGGAACACACAAGTTGTGAATCTTCCAACAGTCAATATGTTGAAGCTATCCATGCAGGACTTTCCAGCTTAAGATCTTTCATGGCAAAAATTGTGGAGTTGCGCAATCAACAAGACGAGCTCCAAAGTCTTTGGGATCGTGTTTTGGAGGTGGCATACAAGGTGGAGGACTTAGTCGACCACCTACTAGTTGGTGATCCTGCAAATTCTTTTCTACCAGCATTTCATTCCATCATGAAAGAAATTGGAAACATTGAGCCTGAAATTGAATTCCACAAATCCGGAATTGAAGTAAAAGAAAAAGACCAAGAAATCAAAGCCAATGAAAGAATCAGGACTTGCCAGAAGGTGTCATCAAAAACAATTCTTCCAATGGCATCTGAAGTGGTAGGTTTTGTTGATGAGGCAGAGTCCATCATGGATCAGCTCACAAGAGGATCAAATTATCTGCGAATCGTTTCCATTGTGGGTATGCCGGGAATCGGTAAGACCACTTTGGCTACCAAAGTTTACAATCACCCTCTTATTTTGAGCCATTTCCATGTCCGAGCATGGTCTCCTGTATCTCAGGTTGTCGACAAAGACAAGGTATTACTTGAACTTTTAAATCAAATTGATCCTAACAACAAATGCTCTGATCTCCCGGAACAGGATTTAGTAGAGAGGCTGTATCGCAATTTGAAAGGAAGGAGATATATCATCGTTTTGGATGATATTTGGAGCATTGAAGATTGGACTAGTTTGGCAGGAGTATTCCCTGACGACAATGTTCGAAGTAGAATTCTTTTGACTAGTCGTCGTCACGATGTTGCTCCTCATGAGATGCTCATCAACCAAGAATCTCATTTTCTTCGTGGACTCAATGCAGAAGAGAGTCTAGAATTGTTGCAGAGGAAGTTATTTCTAAAAAAGGATGACTGGCCTCCTGCTTTACATGATCTAGGGATGAAAATGGCAGGTAAGTGCAACGGATTACCTCTAATGATCATCATTGTAGCTGGAATTCTCGCAACGATGGAGCCAGATGGTTGGGAGAAAATTCTTGATGATTTAAGCTCAGGCGATGTATCCATTACAGAGAACTGCATGAAGACAGTGGAGCTGAGTTACAAAAATTTACCAGATGACCTAAGGCCATGCCTTCTCTACTTCGGGGTGTTTCCAGAAGATAAAGAGGTAACCGTAAAGAGGTTGATTCATCTCTGGATTGCTGAAGGATTTGTTCGCAAATCCGGGATGAAGGGGTTAGAAGATGTTGCTGAAGATTATCTGAAAGATTTAGTTGGCAGAAGCTTAATCATGGTGGCCAAACGAAGATGGGATGGTCGAGTCAAAACATGTCGCATCCATGACTTGCTTCATGAGTTTTGCTTACAGAAAGCTAAAGATGAACATTTTCTGCATTTCCTAAAAGGGTATGATGAACTTTCAGCATTCTGTGAACCGCGCAACCTCCGGAGGTTATGCATTCACTCGGAGGTAGAGCATTTTAAGGAATCAAAATTATTCTGTCCGCGAGCGCGTTCTCTGCTTTTCAATGCATCTCTGAAAAGGAAAAGATATGGGCAACAACCAGCATTGCAGGATATCTCATTCATGTTTGAAGTCTTCAAACTTCTCAGAGTGTTAGACTTGGAGCAAATTTGTTTACGTTATGGATTTCCAAGTGAAATGGTTCTGCTTGTTCACGTGGCATTCCTGGCAATTCGAGGTTGGATGACACACATCCCATCATCCATAGGTAATCTTCTAAATTTGGAAACTTTGATTGTAGATCCAGAATACAACACTCTTTTACTGCCAGACAGTCTTTGGAATCTACAAAAATTGAAGTATGTTTGCATAAAGGGTAATGGGGGTAGTTTGCCAGTTGAAAATCTGAACAGTTCACAAGTTCTTTCTGAGTTGCATATATTTTCAGGTGTAGTCATTCCTTATTGTGAGAGCATGGGAAGACTAATGAGGAAGTTTGCAAACATCCGTAGATTGAAATGCAAAATTTTCCATTACAAAGATGACCCGGTGAATCTTCAGAAAATTGCTGTTCCTGACTTTTTGAGCCAACTAGTATCACTACATATGTCACCTTATGGTGTCTTCAGTCTTCCTAGGACATTTGAGTTGAGTTTGCCAGCAAATCTGAAAAAGTTGACACTGTCGAAATTCTATCTGTCTTGGAGAAATCTTTCAACCATTGGTAAACTGCAGAATCTTGAAGTCCTCAAATTGCTTCATGCATCCTTCCAAGAAGACACATGGGAAATGGAAGAAGGGGAATTCTCCAAACTTAGAATCTTGAAATTGTCCGACGTACATTTCAAGAGTTGGGAAGCTTGTGATGATCAGTTTGAATGCCTTCAGAAGCTGGTGTTGGATAACTGTAGAGGTTTGGAAGAGATGCCTTCTTGTCTAGAGAACATTTCGAAGCTTGAAACAATTGAGGTCTCTCATTGTTCACAAATTGTGATAGAGTTAGTGAGACAGATTGCAGAAGAACAGATGAACTGGGGAAACTCAGATCTGAAGGTCACTATTCAATCATTCGATTTGATCTCATGGAAGTGACAATGCCAAATACAGTTGACTAGTGTTGTGCTACATTTATATCGCTTTTTTTTTCCTCAAAAAGAAAAAAAATTATAAATTTATTTGGTGAGCAATCGTTTTTCCTAGAACTAATCTTGTAACTTAATAATTTTGTATCTCATATCACTGTGCAACTCTTTCTAAATTGTAGTGATGCACCCTAAAGTGTAATGTCCTACAGCTCTCCTGAAGCAGCATGAGAGACCATTGAAACAAATACAACTTGCAAAGAGTGTCACTGGTTTAAAGGGTTGTGATCAGACGATGGATAAATCTAGATGATGATTCGTGTTTCAGTTGCAGTAATTCAGGTGTAAAACCAATATTACATTACAAGTATGTAACAATAAACTCACAAGAACCTGTTGCTCGTACTGCAGAACTTGAGAGAATAGGTCATCTCTTCCAAAATGCAGCATTCTTTTCCAGGAAATCTTCCTAGTTTGCATCAGTACAGCTTCTTTCAGGGGCATTCTCTTTTAATCCACTTCGCATCTATTAATTTCTGCAGCTTCGAGAAAAGACATCCCGCTTCTGTTCATCATAAAATTCAGTAATCTGATCAACACATCTTACTCAGCTTCTAAAAGTGGAGAAAATGCTGCAAACAACATACATTATTTGAAACACTCCTCATATCTCCGCAATTTTTAATGCAGACCAATACATCCGCCATCTCCCCCCAGGTAAAGCATCATTTCTTTGCATGCACCTGCGGTAGCATTCAAGTAACACCCTTTGATTCCACCTGTTTCAACATACATTCATGCAATGTACACCTTCACCCAGTTCCTTCCATACATGTAAAATGCTCTCAGAAGTTCAACTGCATTTGACTGGAAACAACCATCTTCTAATTGTCAAGATCACTTCAAGTCTATACAGATAACACACAATGACGCCACAAGCATTTCAAGCTTAAGTTTATTAGTAAGGCTCCATAAGATCCAAGCATACAGAGGAAATCCATAACTGAGCGGCAACCACAATCAAAAGCTGAGGGAGCTCTCGCTAATACAAAAAATAAAAGATCAACCTTTGTCGGTGAACTACTAACAAGAGTTTCTGCCCTTACAGCTAATGTAGACTAAATGATGCTCATTCTAGCCGAAAATTCAATGACAAATCATTACAAACACAGAACGAAAGACAAGAAGGCAATGAAACCAAAGCCTAAAAGATCTGGACTTTAGTCCGTGGAAGAATTGCATTTCAATATCTATCATCGCATATATTTATATATATATATAAAAAAAATCCAATATAAATTAAGATCTTACAAAATTTGATTTCTCTGCTCTGTTTGATCTAGAGACAAAGCCGAAACATACTCAATAATCAAGTTTGGACCATATCATTACAACAGCAGTAACTAGAACTAAATCTAAAATACGGAGCCAAAAAAGAGAACGGCATCATCTAAGATCAATGAGAAACTAATCGAAGATTCAGAACCCAGGGAAAAAAATAATAATAATTCAAAAGCTTCAAAACCCATTTTCATCCCCAATCTTACTTAGATTTCTGACGCCCAAACTGACACCGACGACTGAATTATGGTATACTTTGTACTACTTCTTATGGAAAACCCATCATCCTACTTTGCCGTTTGAGCATTGATCTCGTCTTGATATGCAATTCTTCTTTCACCCCTTCTTCTTCTTGATGCTGCCTACTCAATTGGGTCACAACAAATCCAAACCCATTGAACTTCAACGCTCTTCTTCTCCTCTGGACAACTCTTCTTTGGATATAGGGAACTCCAACAACCGACCCGGCCGTAACCAGATGAATCGCCTTGACAAGCAGATCAAGGCCTTGGCATCGCTTCTCCGAGGTGGCTGAAGTAGATGAAAGATATGGGGGGTCGGCGGAGCTACTGGATGATGAATCTATGGAGGATGCCAACAATGAGTTGACGGTGATCGATGAACTTGAAGATGCAGAGGAGGAGGACGGTGGTGAATACAAAGAAAAAGATGCAGACTTTGAAGCAGAATTGGCGGCCGATTTCCTTCTCAGCCTCATAGGTGCAGAATAATTTGTTCGAAAAGTCGAAAAATTGAGTAATCTGAAGAGTTTTTTGTTCCTTCTTCTCTTGGTGGTGGATTCAGAGAGGAAGAGGAGCCTGAGAGGAGCACAGGCTCGGAGAAAAATAGTGGGGGTGGAAATATGGAGTCTGTAAAGTGTAAACTTAAATGGGAAATTTGGGATCTGTAGAGTTTTATTAAATATTATATCTTTTTATATTTTTTATTTTAGTTATTATGGACTCTTTTCCCATTTCTAAAGAGATCAGAAGTAAAAAATACACACACGCAGTCTCAAAATATTAAAACTAAAAAAGTTACAATTATTGTCTTGGTTATGCTTTAGAACAAAGGGAGAAATAATATCATTCGTCACAAAAGAAAAAAAAAAACAGAAAATTAAATATGTTAAGTTTTTCTAAATAACACGATCATTTTTACTTTTGAGATAGATGCTTGAACCAGATTAATTAGATTTATCATTGCAAAGCATGAAAAAAGAAGATGCCTCAAAATATATACTCCCTCCGACCCATAATTATTGTCCAGTATGGATTTTTGTTTTCAGTTCAAATTGTACTAAAAGTGAAATCTCAAATTGGACAATAATTTTGGGACGGAGGGAGTAGTTAAATTGTGACAGTAATGGTTCTGAAACGATTATTCGATTTAAATTTTTATTTTTAGTTCAAATTGTGTTAATAATAAGTTATCGAAACTGGACAATAATTTTATCACGAAGAGAATACAAGGAAAACAAAAATAATCAGCAGCTATGTGCGTAAAAGATTAAAATTGTTGATTGAGAACACAAATGAGCAGCTCTATACATGGAATGTAACCATTTCATTCATCTAGTGAAGATAGATACAGGAATCAAACTTCACGAAGACAAGAAGTAAAAGAAATTAAAAATAAGAATCAGGCATGGACAACTTTTGTGATCATTGATCAACCAGCAAACTTGTTTATTGTTCCAGAAAGATACAACCACAACATCTCCATAAAAGCCAATACAAATGGAGTGTAAAAATCTCACTGCAACCAGTAAATCCACACTAATTTAATCCATTGGATTAAACTCTGAAAGAGTTTTGCTTTTTTTTTTTTTTAATAATACGAGAAAAAACATAAAAGCAAGCACAGTCAGTTTATTCAATATCAAAAGTAACAGATCTATATAGTGGCTCGGTTGATTCTTCGGAAGAACTAGGGCTGCTTGGGAGCTCCACCGGCGAATCTGTAGGATACAACAATGGCTTGGGAGGCAATGTTAGTCCTTCAAGATCACCTTCAAGCATTTCTACAACCTCTCTCATTGAAGGCCTTTCAGTTGGTGCCATTTGTATACACCACAGTCCGATCAGAACTAACTTCTTTGCAATCCGTTTTTCTTCCTCACTTACACCATCAACATCATCTCCAAGAATGGCTTCATACTCGTCGTTCTGACCAAATCTGTCGTAGATCCAGGAGGTGAAGTACATTTGGGTGGAACGGTCTGCATTTGGATTTACAGTGAAGTTCTTCCACCTTCCAGCCATATCCATGAGTAACATTCCAAAACTGTACACATCTGCCTTGTAAGACACTCTTCCAATGTTTTTGTATATCAATTCAGGTGCTATGTAGCCTATTGTTCCTCTTATGGCAGTGAGAGTTGCAATAAAACCATCTTGTGAGGGGTACAGTTTCGCAAGTCCAAAGTCGGAAACTTTTGGAACAAAGTTCTCATCAAGAAGGATGTTATGCGGTTTGATATCAAAATGCAGAATTTGCATGTTACAGCCTTGATGCAGGTACTCAATCCCCCGCGCAACGCCCATCGCAATCTCATATGCCTTTTTCCAACTGATGGTGAGTGAGCTAGCAGCATCGGCGTTGGTAGCTAATGACGAGAAAAGGAACTTGTCTAGGGAGCCATTGGGCATGTAGTCGTAGACTAGGGCACGCGTTGAGGAAGTTACGCAGAATCCAACTAGTCGCACCACATTAACATGGTGAATTCTTCCAATAGTTGCAACTTCATTGATGAATTCTTGTCCATTGGCTTTGGATTTGTTCAACATCTTAACTGCAACTAAGCTTCCACTTCGCAATTTCCCTTTGTAAACCAAGCCGTAACCTCCTTCGCCCAATTTCTCCCTGAAATTGTGGGTCATGGACTTTATTTCTCTGTAGGAGTACCTGATAGGCACAAGGCCATTGTTTTCTTTCAAGAACTCTTCAACTGAATCATACATCGACAAATGCCTTCGACGACACTTGTAAATGAGATACGCCATCAACAGTAGAATGCCAATCACAAATCTTGCCGTGCATACAAAAACTGCCAATTAAGTAATCATTAGTCGCTAAAAGAAAGTAAAACAGCAAAATATATACATAGCGGTCAATTCGTATGGTGATAAGTGTCATAGCATGGACATACGACATCTTACCTGAAACCTGGAGTGCTAAGGCCTGACCCTGACGCCCTACACAAAAGAAGAAGAGTCATGGAATGTGAAGTAAACTCAAAAAACAGTTCTGATGAAAATCTCTCTTTCATTTTCTTTTGCATATTTTTAAACCTTTTGTATATCTTTCTAAGATTCCAACTAATAAATTTTCATCGAAATTCTTAAATTCCACTGATTCTCATCTCGTACTAAGTTGAAGTCCTTGATTTGGCCCAGTAATAATGAGATGTATTGAATGGTGAGCTTTTTAATCGTCAAAATGGAAAGAAATAAGAAATGCAACTGACATAAAGAGTTTTGTGTTTACTCACGACCATTATCTGAGGATCTGTGAATTGAAAGAATGATCTCCTGTATTCCAGCTAATATTGATATTAGGTGGCCTAGGGCAACATAAAAACAACGTTACTACTGAACCAAAATAACTTGCAAGAACTGTATCAATATGATAGGAAAAAAAAGATAGGCGATTTCAGGATTCGATTAATTTGATTTGGCAACCAACTCACACCAAAACGGAGTCCTTAAAGTCATTTGTTGATCAGCATACCATGCCCACTGGAGTTGAAAGCCATCGGCCAAAAGATTGTGTATGTGTTCAAATGCAACGTCGTCATGATCAGCTGTTTTGTTGCTGAGGAGAAACTCATCACGAATCTGAACTGGAAGGATTTTATTGATGGTGCACGACTCTGGAATATCATAAGGAACAAGATTTCGACCAACCATGACATAATCATGACTAGTATTGGCACTTTTGGTGGGAAAATACCAAGCACTGGCACTACAGGATGCAGTGTCTATTAGTCGATGAAATGTGGAGTTTGATTGAGAATTCTTCACTGGGTTCCCACAGCTCATGAACACCACCGTGTCCTCAGCCTCATCACTTATACGCAAACCGAGCCATAAGTTTCTGCCGTCCGAATAAGCCGAATACAGATATTGATGCTGTATCGGGTACAACGGAAGACTGGAACAATTGCCCTTCTGTAAACCAGGATCAATCACACGAATTGTCCGATTTTGAAAATTGAAGCTGTCCACATCTACATAGTAGTACTGTTTTTCTGAAGTGTAAAAGCTGTCTAGATATAGTACCGTCCGGTTATGCAGACAAGAAAAAGTAAAATGGGGATACCTGCAGGGATTTGAATTATCTCCATCAAACTGAAAAGGGAACCTCAAATTTTGATGGCTAGAATCCCCACAGTTATACTGGCTGTCCTCACAAGTGTGTGTTTCAAGCGCAGTGTCCAAATAGCAACTGCCACTTTGCAGATCAAAATACGTGAACCAGCAAACCAAGATGTAAACTAGAAGAATGGATGACGAAAACGTCAAAAGATGCAGCGGAAACATGATGAGTTAAAGTTGAGCTCAAGTGGGGAGTGTGTCCAATTGGGGAAGTTGTAAGTTGTAACATGGTGGTGGGTTGAAGCATTAAAGTTTTCAACATCCCTTCTTTTTGAGTAGATGGATAAGGAGAACTCATCTGGCCAAACGGAATTTGTGGCCAACTTTCGCCCACATAGCATTTTTTCCCAAAAAATGCAGCCAACATCTGATTTCTGAAGTGAAGCAAACCATCCCTAATCAGTGCGCTTCTTGTAGTCCTGAAGAGAGAAAGAATAGTGGTGAGTGTGTTGTCAACTTGTTTATTTTTACCCATCCTGAAATTCTTCTACCTTGCCTGTAATTTCTACACCCAGTGTGTTCGGGAGGTTTTCCACCTAAACCATTGTGTTCTTTAGCCATTACCATACATCTAACCAACACCCACCATACCGCTACAGTTGTAAGTGCAAGAGCCGATTGCAATTACATTGAGGATGATCAGAAGATTGATGGCTTTGAATATCTTCTTCGTTTTGGTAATCTTCCAGCTAGCAACCATCATCCAAGCAGGAGGAAACAAACAAAGTACACCTGAACATGATGATCCGTGTGCAGAACAGAAGTGTCGCCCTGGCGGCCCGGCTGTAAGGTTCCCGTTTGTGCTCCAGGGAAAGCAGCCTGAATACTGTGGTTACAATTCCAGTTTCCATCTTCGCTGTGACCAACTCAGCCGTACTATACTTGAGCTGCCTCCTTCATCCATAAAAGTTGAGGTAACCTACATCTCCTATTTGTCCCAAATGATAAAACTCCAATCTGTTGAAACGTGCCTCCCAAAGCATTCAAGAGATCTTGACCTATCTCTCACCCCCTTTTTTCCCCGCAACGAGGATACTGGGGCCTCCTGGGCATTTGAAGAGTTCTCTTTATTTAATTGCTCGCCACGCCCATGGGGTTTGATTCTCATCAAGTGTCTCGGAAACAATAAATCCAAAGTTTATGCAATGTCTTCCAGAGAAATAATTTGGTATGCATCATTGGAATCGTGTACAAAGATGTATGACACTAAAACCGTATCAGCTGAAATGTTTCAAACAGATTTGATCATATTGTATTGGTCTTTGCCACTGTGTCGGAGATGTGAGGTACAAGGTGGAATTTGCAGATGGAGAACTGGACAAATCGGCTGCTTGAGAGTTAACAAACACCACTTTGGTATGAAATTTGTACTCTTCTGAATCATTTCATTCATTCCGGTCCATTTCTATAACTTTACTTCAAAAAGTAAAATATATATCCATCTGTCTTTTTTTTTTCTCCCCCCTTTCCGGAAGTGATTGGTTTCATCGGGAAAAAATGGGCAAGCCAGAATGATACACAAACAATAATTTTACTATTTATTATTTTCTTCATGGAAATAATTCTGAGATGCTTATGGCCTTACATAACCATAATCCTCAACTTTACTTGCCTAGAACTTGTTGAAATTGGTAGTTGGGTTTCTGTTTCTATTTTACAGACTCCAAAAAGAATTCTGACTAGCAAACGTATATGTTACAGGTACCTTGAAGAAAGTATTGTTTATTTCTGGTAAGTTTTGTTTTTTTCCTTTTTTTTTTAGGGGGTCTTTATCTCGAACAGAAAGATGGAAATGAACTGAGCTCTTTGCAACAGGTTCAATCATCGGATGTTTGCTTCTCACGCTAGCCATCGGTGCCGTATACCTAGCTTATTTCACAAATAAGCTAGGCAAAGAAGATCGTGCTAGGTTAAAGAAATTCTTGGAAGACTATGAAGCTATGAAACCGACACGATACTCGTATGCTGATATTAAGAAAATTACTAATGACTTCAGGGATAAACTAGGAGAGGGAGGCTATGGAAATGTCTTCAAGGGAAAGGTTTCGAAAAATATATACGTTGCTGTCAAACTGTTGCACAATTCAACTGGCAATGGAGAAGAATTTATCAATGAGATGGGAACAATGGGAAGGATACACCATGTTAATGTAGTTCGCTTTTTAGGTTTCTGTGCAGATGGATACACAAGAGCTCTTGTCTATGAGTTCCTACCTAATGGTTCTCTAGATAAATTCATATTCCCAGATGACCAACAGCACCACACACTAGGAATGGGAAGTTTACAAGACATTGCGATTGGCATAGCTCGAGGAATCCAGTATCTTCATCAAGGATGTGAACAGAGAATTCTGCATTTTGATATCAAGCCGCATAACATATTGTTGGATGAGAATTACAACCCAAAGATATCTGATTTCGGGTTAGCCAAGTTGTGTGAGAAGGGGAGAAGTGCAGTTTCCATGACGGCTGCAAGAGGAACAATGGGTTACATTGCCCCTGAAGTCTTCTCTAGGCAGTTTGGGAATGTTTCTTACAAATCTGACATTTATAGTTTTGGAATGTTGTTGCTTGAAATGGTGGGAAGGCGAAAGAACATCGACGCCAATGTTCAAAACATTAGTCAAGTGTACTTCCCTGAATGGATTTATGAGCGTCTGGTTAAAGGAGAAGAATACAGGATCCAAGTTGTTGATGATGAAGATGGAGAGGATAAGATTGCTAAGAAATTGGCAACTGTTGGACTTTGGTGCATCCAGTGGAACCCGGCGAATCGCCCTTCGATTACAATAGTACTCCAAATGCTTGAAGGAAATGGTGATACTCTAAATCTTCCACCAGATCCATTTGCTTCAGCCAATGCAGTGAACACAGTTAATCCAAGAGTAGAGCATACAAGAGCACCTTTCAGTTCAACATTGGCAGTGATATCTGAATCAGCCTTCTAAATTCCTTCATGGATTGAAAAGATTATGTTTTGCGACCAATATGGATGATTTAAGCTTTAAGTAACTGCACTTACAAGGAGTGGGTTCACTGTATTGTGTTATATATGATCTTAATAATAAACTTTTTGAAAATGATCGATCCTATACAATATGATGCTGAAGTCTAATATCGGGAATGCAATCAATTAATCTCAATCACCAGTTTGACCATTCCTATTTAAAACTCAAACGCAAAAGCCTGAATCCCAATCTTGCAATGAACCAACGAACCCTAAGGCATCTTAGACTTGTATTTGTAGTAGATTCTGTCAAAATGAACTCAGTTCAAAAAAAAGGGGGACCAAACAGTCAAGCATAGTGAATAGTATGCATACCATGCCTCCTCTGCCATAGCCGGGATTTGATCCAAGTTCTGCACCATGCTCATCCCCTGCAAGCAAGCTGCTTTGATCAGTAGAGATATGTTTAAACATGCTCCCATTTTTTCTACCCAAAGGGGAGCAACGGAAGATAATACAGTATAAGTACTTCTGCTGATAAGAAGATTCTTATAACAACTCAAAAGATTAGGAACAACGTAGAAATTTCTCGGTTTCTTAAAAAGAATAAAGACACAAATTCCCCCCTTTAAAAGACTTATTCTATCTGAATCAACCACAAAGATACATAGTATGTTGCATAATATTTTGTTGGAAGTGGACAAGGGGCCTTTTAAAACTGGATTTCATCCCACATCTTGCTCTTCGTTAGACTTATGCTTCATCTTAAAGGATCATTCGTTTTCAGAAGACTAATGTGGTCCTGATTAGACAATGAGAGATGTCACAGAAATGATTGACGATCATCTTGAAGGACTAATTGCTTCCTACCTGTTTGTGATAACGCCTCTGCGATCTTAAACCTTTTGCTGCGAGCAGAGTAGTAGAAAAAACATTTCCGATGTCTCTCCTATAACACATTTCTTGTTATAATTCATGTATTCTGAAACTCCTGATTCCCGGCATTTAAAGCTATTTCTGATCACAGAAACTATAATTTTGCGCGTTTATGCGGCGATGAGCTAATTAGATACATATCCATATAGTTGCTTTGCTTGAACAATCTACAACGAAATTCCCATGTTCATTTGAGATTCCTTATTCTCAGAAGCATCCACTTTATTTGAAGGTGTCACTAACTTGATGATTTTGAAATGTGCAGATTGTTGACGAACTGCAGCAGATGCTCTAGTCTATCTTCCTACTAAAAGAACCAAACTTTATGAGTGAGTGATTTGATTTTGATAGTGTCTTTCATTTTATTACTAAGTTTGTGCACAAGAGCCCCAAGCTGGAAAACTGAATTCATCTGTTTCCCAACTTCATGAATCCTGTAGTGCCAGTGCATCACATTTTGCCACCAAGAGTAGCAGTGATCGTCAACAGACCTTTATGTGGTGGTTGGTCGAAATATTTTTGCTTTCGGATATCCCGGAATCCTGCTCCATTAATTAAAAAGATTGTTTCTGCTCTGGTTGATGATGAAACTCTCCTCAGCAGTCAGCACAACAACTCCAAAAGATACACGATCTGTTAACTGATCATGGCTTCCGAGTTTCGACTTCACTGGAGATGGATATCTTATGGCAGTCAGATGAAGAAACCATTTTGGTGTCAGTACTTTTTCATTTTTTATAAAAATTTGTTGGAATCTTAAAAGTTCAACAAAGATGTAAGTATAAGGAGTTTTTTCCTTAAATACATTTGCACATTAAGGACCTAGTAAAAAAATAAAGGTCTCAGAAAAAATCTGAACAAAATTATATCTACCAGATTTCGGAAATCCGAATCAGAGGTAAAGTCGGATTTGCAAAATCCGAATCTGAGTAAACATGGATTACGTAAATCCGACTTCGTATTACTTGTATCTGAGATTTAGATAATGATATGATTTAATTTAATTTATCGTAATCCAGATTTCCTAAATCCGACAACATAAATAAAAAATTAATTTTCGATGAGGTTAAATAATTATAAATGTTTAAAAATATTTTGTGAAAGCATACGGATTACCGTAATCCGAATTCGTGGTTTTGGAAAAGCGAAATTCGGATTTCTCCGGCATCTCCCAAAATTGCACACTCTCGGATGGATTTCCTGACATCGGATTTCCAAAGTCCGAGTCCTATACAAAAAGTCTAAAGTCGGATTTCAGAAATCCGACTCCTTTGTAATATTAAAAAAAAAAATTAGACTGGTTTTTACCAGTCCAAAACTTATTTTAACATCACTAATAACTAGAAAACGTTACAAAAATAGAAATCTAACAACAAAACCATTAAACTTCATTCGATTAAAGTTAAGAAATGCGAATCTTTATCCAAATATATAACAAGTCACTAAGTTTACAAAACGATAAAAATACATATACGGGCTCATTTTTTTCCTTTTCCTTTCCTAGTATCACCATGAGTGTATTTTTTTGTTGGGTTTCGAGTCCTGTCTTCCCTCCGAAGATATGTAAGTATTGAACCCTGTTGTTGACGAGGTTGAGGTTCAGGTTGGGTGTCTCCCATGGTGAGAAGTGGGATTTGTGATAGTGTCTGCGACTCTTGACCCATGTTGGGGAACTCGATATGAATATGCAAGCCTGAGGAAGAAGCGTCGTGCTCAGTGGCTCGTTGTTGATTACCTGGACCTTTCACTACTTTTCGCTTTCTTCCTCCTCCAATCTTATCTTTCGGCCACGGTTTCGCTTTTTTGCCTGGCAGAGGTTGTGAGGGTTGAGTCGAATCATCATCAACTAAGATTTGGGTATCGTATATGTCCGTCTCCTCATTTAGGCCCAGGGTTAAAGCAACATGTGCTTGATCGATGATATCGCTCAAATGCTTCTCAAGCTCACTGCCTAGGTCATTTTGGCCACGACGAGTCTCTCTAAAATGCTCCGAACTCATGCGAATCTTGTTCAAGACTTCACCCTAAAAAGAAATTGGAACATTAGTTTAGAAAAAAATATTCAAAGCTAATTAGAAGATTAAATTCCAAAATCATAAAAAGATTATTAAAAAACAAAGAGGAAATTATAAGAAGTGAACTCACTTATACTTTCTCTCGGCTCGAAGAAGTCTCATATCATTTGGATTGGTAATGCTTAGGATTGGAGATAAGCTTGACGGTATTCTTGATAAACCATTCATTGTAGTCCTCCGATGTTTGGCCAGGGTATCCAAACTTCCAATCAGTTGGCACGTGTTCTTGTCTCTGGTTCCAGTGAGGACTTACCTCGGAATGCTGATTGACCCAATTATTTTCAATTAAGCCAGACATGTTGTGGGCGTGATCAAGTTTAAACGCAAAAAAGTCCTTGATTATAGGATCAAGGGGAATATCCCATATGTAACTAAACTGTCGCACTACCCTAACCGACTCGTGTGGTTCTCTAATAGCCCAACAGAACATCCACGTCCTGGCCATCCAAATGGCTTGACCTTGTTTACAGAATTCAAGGAGGGTAGGAAGGACATCTACGTAGGGTTGCCACTTAAACTATACAAAATGAATTTATTTAAATGGTGAAACCGTTAGAAAAAAATTCAAAATAAATATAAATACCCAATATAAATGAGTACTTGCGTCTCCAACACGTAGGCTTGTTAATTGTTCCCTAAAAGGTGGCACGCTGCTTCTTGGGACGTCTCCGTAGCTGTACGAACATTTCCACCTTAATGAACAAACACGAAGTCATTAGATTTTAATTATTAAAAAAATAGAATAATAAAAAAATAGGGTAAAAAATCATTTATTTTGAAAAGAAAAAACCTACCGAATAGCTAATGGAGCGGTCTCATCCAGTATATATTCTACATCTACCCTATGTGGCGCGATTCT